TCAATCTTTTGACATGAGTGTCTTCACACACTGAAATATGTTGACACAGTGTGTGATAATGAATATTTTTGTGTGTAAATTTACTGATAAAGCCCAAGCTGGTTTAGTGTACTTTTGATTGAATAAATTCTGATAAGTGCAGTGGAGTGGACAATTAGTCCTTATCAGGATTAATATTGATGGTTCTAAAAGCAATACCCTCATCTTTCAGGGAAGGAGTTAAACTTTTTATAAAAAATACCCAAATCCAGCAACTAATTAAAAAGTTAAAATTTGAAAACTTTAAATCTGCCCACAATTAGCATGAATTCCAAGTACATGTAAATCTGTGAATGGTATTTATTATGGTAAGGATTCAGTGAAGTCTATTTTAAGCAAAATCTGACTAACCTACTGTTCCAGTGTACATAAAGGTGCAAAGGTGACCTGTCACATAAGTTTTTATTACTGTCAGTCGGACTGAAACATTCTACCTAAACTTTTTGCAGTCATATTTTTCAAACTATCAGTAGTTGATTTAAGTGAATTCCCCCTAAAATGTGGCCGACACACAGGACATCCTAGAAAATCTACAAGTACCGTAGTTACAACAGAGCTAAATAGTGCTGAGTGACAACCCCAGAGAGCTGCTGCGTGAAGCGGGGAAACAAAGCAGGCTCAGATCACTGGTGAAAAGTGCAGGGTACCAAGTTACACGTGGCAAATGTTTATGGTACCTTAATTTGCATAAACTTGTACAGCAATGCCAAGCAACATGGGTGCTGTCATTTTACAAACATTTTTGAAACGGTGTAATGAATTAAGAGTCATGCAACTTGGACTTTGAAAAAAAATGAGGGAATTCCAATCTTCACAAGACTTTTTACAATGTTTCTCCATTTTCAGTGGCATGAGTGTGAAGTGCTAAATGAGGAAATCAGCTGATCAGAGGGAAAACTTGTACAGGTAATGTCACAAAGTATAATTCAGGAGAACCAAGCAACAATCAAGGTGGGAATTTATAAATGTTTAATTTGGAAAATGTTTAGAAAACTTGCCCATACCGTTTAAATGTGTACATGTCCCGTCCTTACCGCGGTGTCATTGACAACTTTAAACACAACAAATTGTATACAATGAAAATAGTTGACACAAAGTTCCGGCAATGAGTTCATGGTATTCCTTTGAAATGACCTTCACATAGCAGTAAAGTGTTCTGAAAATCAAATTACATTTTACAGGGATCGTTTACAATAAAAATGATCGCCAGATTTTGTCAATTAAAACATCAAACCTCTAAATGGGGCGATTCCGTTTCGACATTTGGGAAAATCTGTAAACGGATTTGGAGGTTTTTCATATAAACATCCCACCCTAACCCCCTAGGGCGTACACGTATGTAAAATCACTGAAATTGGAGGATTTGGGATAGCTATTCAGTAGCAATATACAGGAAGTAATGTTATGCAGGACTGTAGTTGCACCTACAAACCAATAAACACATCCAGTGCTCCATTCACTCAACCAGCATTAGAATTCAAATCTCACCAGACGGGATATTCATTCCCTTCATTCACTTGTGACAAAAAGAGGAAGTCATCATTTTCCATATAATTATGTATCCAGGTATTTTAAAATCCCTAGGGGTGTCCCTGCATTATACAGTTATATGTACCGGTAGTAATGCTTTACTGTTGGAGTGCAACTTTATCACTGTGATGAATTGCAACCTCTCAATTCCAGTAATTACTACCCGTTATTTTTGCACCATTCCCTTGCTTGATTCGTACCAATTTTTCATGTTTATTGTTCACCCCAATTACATTCAAATTTACTGATTCACTACAAGGGGAACTGTATGTACATACATGTACAATGTATGTACCAGTACATGTATTGATTTCTGAAGACAATTTAAATGTCTCAATGCACAAACTGTTGTTTGCTGCCCCCACATACTCGTAAAATGTAACACACACAGAACACCATCGGCAACAACAAAATGAAACAAATGTTGCTTTACGTCAATTCTAATATCAATAGAGTTAATCTCACACATTTCTGTGCATCACCAATCGATTACCGTACATGTACGCGTATTTTTAGTCTCTCCAAATGGCATCTTCTTTGTTCCACCAACAGATATGTCTGACTAAAACAAAGGCACATGGGCACCCACACACGTGTTTGTGCATGTGTGGAGCTCTACCGTAGCTGTTTTATGAAAGAAGTATTGCTGATAAATTAATGTATACAAAATACACCTGTCATTGAGAGCAATCACAGCCGCACCACCTGCATGGCAATAGAATGGATGTCACCAAACTGGCGCAATAATAAAACAAATCCATACTCAAGGTCACAAAATATGAAGGTAATTTTGTCTTTTGACAGGAAGTTGCGCTTTGATTGTTGGCACTCATTCAATACAAGCCTGGAGAGTAACCTTCGGGCATTTTTTTTTTTTCAATTCTGCTACACACATGTACATTTTTTTCATGAATGGTGATTAAGGTACATACGCAGAAACCTCAGTGGCTGCATGTAGTTGCCTGAATACAAAAAAAGCAGGATGTAAAATGGAAATTGAAAGTTGTAAGTGATATGAGTGACAACAAAAAAAGTTCACTTTTGACACAATCACACATGTATTTAAACATACATGTATTGTTCATGTACCAACATCAATTTCCAGAGTCCAGCAATAACTTTCAAACACATTTGGTTGAAATAGAGACCAACGAGATCTTAATATCTTCAGGAAATTTACATGTACGTGTACAGCATGTGCTCGTACATGTATTGTGCTTCTTTTTCTGTTCTGTTTGACCACTTCTATTACCTTTTAAAAAGTAGGAAACCCTTATTTACTGTAACAAAGTCTAATCTAAATTTCAATTTCTCAGCTCTCCCAGATGACAATTTATTACACGTTTATCATGGCCATGTAAAAATGGCCACGTAAAAATGCCCTTGTGTGGACTGTGCCCACTGCCCCTACCAGTACATAACCTGGGCTTCCAAATTTAGTCATCCGGATTCATTCAATTTATTCCCTGAATAAATTCATTCATTTCAAACTAATTCACAAATCCTCTTTAGTCTATATATACACTGTACATGTAGCCAGGTGTTTAATTAATGTAGCGTAAATGGAAAGTGGATGTTTGCATACATGTCTGAATGGTACCAGACTGACTACCAGCATCAATGCAAGCCCTTTACGAATTGTACAAAGTATTGAAGTGTGATGTCATTCAAACCACGAAGTGTGGTGCAAACGTGTTGGTTCATGTGCTGGTTCTCGCGCTAACGCCTTTTCATAAATGTGCGCATGACATACACTGTATTCACATCAGTAAGTAGCCCAATGCGAGAATACATGGTGCGTGCACATTGTCAGTGCAATCAAGTAACAGTACATCCCCAAAAATATTTATTCCAGTTTTATGTGTTTGTTTCAGCGATTACAAGCAACCATATTCAGCAGCTCATTCGGCTTGCGATGTCAGCTGCACCAGTGCTTGAAATCTAGTATAGTACACTTGAGTGCAATTGAAAATTCAATGGTAGAGTACAAACGCAAGAGTCACAACGCAATGATACATAAGGACACTTTACATCATGTCTGGTACCGCTATATTGACATATTGGGCACAGTATTAACCACAGAGCTAGGAACCGACTCTACATGTATGGTATTAACTAGGTATCCCCCCAAAAAACAAATAATGCACGTGAATTCCATGCCATCAGATTGAAAGTTGGAAAAACAAAGATCTCCCACATCCAAGAATTTCAAAAGCTTTGATGATTTGTAAAAATGAAAACAAAAGTTCCTTGAATTATTGTAATTGGTGTGCGGTATGATAATAAACAATCTTATACAGCGCCAAATCCATCATAGATGTTCAGAGCGCTTTCCAGTCACAAAAATAATTTAATCCCATGAAATAAATTTCTACAATTTTGTTACAAAGTTAATAGCAATAATAAAACAATCACGTTGACATGATAACTTAAGACCAAAACCAATGAAGCAGATCTGCGCATCATTTTATGGCATATAAAAGGAACAAAAAACTGATACGGCATTTACATGCGAGAATCAAAACGGGTAAATTTACAGAGTACATGAATGGTGTTTGTCAAAGTTTATGGCACTTCCCCAAGAATACTACATCTAGTGAAACTCAGGAGCATGCTGGGTTTTGTTGGGCTAGGCAGTGAACCCCTCTCCCCCAAAAATTGTACACTTTATTTTGTTGGATTGTGTCCAGGGAAAGCTGAAGGGCTCAGTCTTAAGCTCAATCACTTTAGTCCTAATGTAAGCACAGGCATATTTACACTGCGCTAGGCAAAGCTAAGTCTATTGACACTGTGCTTTACATTCCAAAAAAGGAAAAGGCATTGACTTAGCTTGCCCACTGATCATGGGCACAATGACATACCAATATATGGCACAATTTCAATCAGGATTTCAGGAGCTGAGTGTATGATGTCACTGCTTAACTCATAAGCAAGAGTTCCTATTGTATTTAAACTTAGAGAAAAATCAATTCCCCAAGGCCTTGTTTACAGGTTTGCACTGCATAATATCTTGAGACTTAAAAAAAGGTAATTGTCAACTGTTCAAAAAGTTCAGTAGACATATAGCATTTATATGAATCAGAAATTTCAAGTCCTTCAAGTGGTTTCATATTCTTCAAAAGCATAGATCTTGCATTTTAGCTCAGGCAGAAAACCATTTTTGCGGAATCCGTCAAAGGTCTGGCAAGATGACCTACAATTACCAACAGCGAATTTCATTCCAGGTGTGATTACTTCATAGCTTGGAAATTTTTTTTTTTTAAATATTTACAAGAAATTTGGTACAAGCAAACATAAGAGTCCTTTTCTATGTAATTTTCCTCATTTTGAGCATGCACACTTTAGTTCAAATGTAATGCGGACAACAGACTGAAAAGGACAACCATGTTGGCCTCCACCATCTGTCTCATCAGTTTAGTAGCATTACTTACCCAAGTGTTGTCATTGTAACAATTGTATACCAGAAGGCGGCAGGAATGCTGAAAAAGTCAGTATTTTCCACGCTTCTCTCCGCATAGTACATGATGGTGGCGAATATTATAATGGCCATCGCCAGAGAAAACACCAAAAATCCAAGTTCACTTGCACAGCTTTTAAGGGTGTACCCTAAGATGCGTAACCCCTGCGAGTGTCTGGAGAATTTGAAAATTCTAACGACTCGGAACACTCGGAGTGTCGTGAACATGCCGCTTAAACTGTCGCTGTTGAACATGAGCCCTACATAATAGGGCATGATGGCCACCACGTCTATAACACACATGACGCTCCGCATGAATTTGCACCGATCTGGAGCAGCATAGGCTCTCAGTATATACTCTACGGTAAAGATCAACACACATGCTGTATCCAGGCAAAAGAAGGCATCATGGTATCTCTCCCCACATGGGACATCCTCTACAGTACCAGGAAATGGAGAACATGGTATCGTTTCAACGACATTGGCAAGGACAGAGACTGCGATAAAAAACCCTGTCACATAGTAGAAGACAAGCGCTCCGGTACCCGTATGTGGGTTCTCAAATGCTCTCCACATCTTCTCCCTTAACGTGTGCAAGTCTGGGGCATCACCCATTTCCGAGCTTCTCTCGTCCATGAGACGCTCTGCATTCTCTCGCTTCCTGTCGCGGTAGTCCTCGTAGCAGCAGTCCCCAATAATTTCAGGCATGACTCCGAAAAATGCCAGCTCCTCATCAAAGGAGTTGATGCACTCCTCCCGGGGGAGGTGCATGCGTCCTGTGCGATAGAATGCCAGGATGTGGCGGAACAAATCTGGGTCCCTATCAAAGAAGTATTCCCCAGAATCTTCGTCATAGAAGAATTCCTTCTCATTGCTTCCCAGAAGGGTATCCGGGTATTTCTCCAGCATGTGCCGCCAGGTTTCAAAGCGGCGGCCACTGATGTTGAGGACAATGCGGCCACCTTCATTGGCAGTGGTGTGCCGCTCTGGAGCTACGGGCATGGCATTGGGGGCGATGGGCACCCACCCGATCGCCGCCGCCCGGGCAAACGGTAGCCAGGCTGCAGCCATGATGTGCTGCCGGCCCTCACCTCCCTCTGCGGGATGAACCTGGTGGCAAGAAATTTCAAGTGGTTTTCAGCCAGGCCTACACCCAGCAAACACGCAGATCGTGGCGGACCTTCTCGGACTTGGTGTGCCAAGCACCTGGTCAAAAACCCAACTCAAATTCTGGCGGGCTAATCTACGGCCCGTACACAGAGACATCAGAGGACAAGAACGCCGAGAGCGCTGACTCACCAGGCGGTGCAACAACAGCAGCAGATCTTGGCAGGTCTCCGGTAAACAAACAGCTGCAGTGAAAATTCGCGCTAAGTTCAGGCAACAGGCGATTTTAAACTACCCGTAAGCCGGCATTTTGAAATGTCATTCGCCTGCACAGTCAACTCTGACTTGTCATCTAGTCTGCTCCACGAGAAAACCCCCAAACATGTTCACTGAACTGGCGTTTCACTGTGTTGTCTCGATTTTACAGCGGAACGGCAATAGCAGACGCCATACCATTCCCATTTCGTGTGATGTGGAATCAGTTGCGGGAGTACGCGATACGGTGCACTGGTACAAATCTCCGCAGATACTGTACACACAACGCACACGGCTGTGTGTATACACACACACTGTAGCTGACAGCGCGACGGAGTGAACGCGAACGGCCGTAGAGAAGTGAATTGTCCATTCAATTTTTAACAGCCATCGGTCGTGGGCTCATGTACGTACAAGAATATGACTACATGAACACACACAAATGTATTGTTCTTCATTCTAGAAGCTTTTTCTCGCCTATGCTATGTTATTTCTTCAATAATTTATTTATTTCAATCTATCCAGAGATTTGAATTACTTAAAGATTACAGTACAATATCTTTTACAAGGGATAACAATAGCCGTTCTTTTGAATTCTCCCTATCTTGCCTGAATTTAGCCGTTAACGGTTAGCATTGGTCCGTGATAATGAGTATCGAATATTCATTTATTTTATATTAACATAATCGACTTCTGCGTTACGTGAAGCGGCGTTTTTTTTCTGGGGCGCTGACGCCACCTTGTGGTACCGCAAAATGTTTAAAAGATTTTTAAAAAACAACAACGTGCGTATTTAATGATACTCTGATAACTTCATAAGAGGGTTGAATGGTATTTAAATGCTCATGTCCTTTTTACTTGTTTCGCTTAGGAAGGACTGCATAAGTAAGGGAAAGGAACAACTTCTAGCGTTCAACACGCTCTACGTACGAAAGGAAAGAAGAGGACAACACGAATACCATATACATGTATACAGTATGTTTTGAATTGGTCGTTATTTATTTTACAGACTACGAATCAATCTGACTAATAAATTCGTTTCCCTCATTTGATTATGTCTTTCTTTTTTATTTCTAACAGGCTACTGATCTGGACGAGAAGCTCGAAGTACCCAAGAAGTACGAAGTGTCCATACTTTTTACCTTTGTAATCAGCTGAGGAAATATAACAACGAATACTTCTCGGTTGTTCATGCTTGGTACTGAGTGCTCAATCCCGAGTAAATAACACAAGATTTCGATTTTATTGCTCAGTTTTACGTATTAAACAAGACTTTGAGATTTATTTGAGAAAATAAAAGATGAAAATCTCCAGTTGCGGCCATCTTTGTAAATATTTTTCCGGAACTTTGCTCGAAAACTCGATCAAAAAATTAAAAATCCTCCAATCATTGCCAGTTAATTAGTGATCTTAAGATTCTTAAAGGTTTCAGGTGGAACATGTAGCTTTTTTACTCAGGTGTTACCGATAAAGATTTATTAATCCATTTTTTTGCCCGGGCTAGATGACAAAATAAGGTTGGGCTCGATGAAAAATATTACTTTCTCCGTGCACACGGAATAACACGGTTTAGGGAGGGGGGAGCCTACTCATCAGGTCTCTGAGTTTTCACGTTCTGGATTTCGAGTAGCCTCATCCAATCTAATAACTAAACGATTACGGTCTGGATGCCAGGCAGAAACACATCTGCGAATGCTTCATTAACTGGTACATTAACTGATGAGGGGTAGGATCGTTACTGCCAGTGCAGGGGATTGGACCCAGATAGCGTAGAACATCGTCACCACAGCGATACCTGTGTCACCGTTTCCCGTCTCTGACCCTTTCTGCTCTGCTTGGTCACGGTTGTTAACGATATCTCAGTGCGATAAACTTGGGACTAAATTGTGCTTTTCTGTCGCTCAAGCGAAGGTGAAGAGTGGAAGGAAATTATTAAAGAGTATTTGCACAGGGACTATCGAAACGTATGAGCGCCACTTGCAAAACATTTTTTTTCTAGTTACTGTCTCGCTACGGTGAGGTACTAACCCCGCGGCGAGATGGTAACCAGAAAAAACAATTTGCAAGTGGCCCTTATACGCTTCCGTACAAAGACAATGCACGAACAACGAAATTAACTTCTATTTATGATTTGTAATGAGTTTGTTAACAAACACGCGAATTCCTGAAATGCGGTCAACTCGTCGTTTCTCAAAACTGACAAATGAGGTTGTAACAAATAACTCTCGCCAAATACCAGCTATGCCCCTCCAAAGCAAAGGCGGATCCAGAATCTGACTTTCCCGGGGTGGGGGGGAGTAAAGAATGTGGAATATCTGTTTCATGCAACCTTCCATTTCAGGCTTTTTGGGGGGCTACACGCTGGGTGTTTACACGAGAGAGAAATGAAACAGACCCCCCAAATTGCCTTGCATTGTATTTCCCAAACAGTTTTGGGTCCTTTCCTTAGTTTCATAGCAGGGTCCTAACAAAACACCCCCCATACCTTGGTCTTTACAAACTTGGCTTAGGCCTACTTTCAAAATGTAAATTGCTGAACAAACTGGACTTAAATAGCTCACGGAGCTTAAATATTCCAATAGTTTTAATCACATTACTTTCTTCTCAGATCATATTATCTGCACCCATTTCCAATATAACATCGAAGGAAAAAAAATTATAAATTAAATACTAAAAGTATTACAGACAGAGGCAAGTACTGTGGCATTTGTCACAAAGCTATTGCTGATCATTCGCTCTATAATCAGACCCTAACTAGGAGGCGACCAGTTGGCTGACCGCTACAACATTATTCAATATATATCGCTCAGCCAACTGTATTCTCTCTTCATGGGAGAGGAAATGAAGAATTTTCACAAGTAGTCAATAACTGGTGAACACGTGTTTGTCCTTTTGCAGAAAGAAGCAAGAAAGCCTAGTCTCATTTCAAGACACAATAAAAGCAGAAAGGAGTGAGAAAGCCTAGTCTTAGCTCAAGATATCACATGATCAACTGTACATAGTACGGGCTGCAAGTTACGTCGTAAAGAGCTGCTGATGACTTGAACTAAGACTAACATGGTTCTTGTATGCCTTTGAAAAACTTTTTCAGAAGAAATGAATGAAATACAGTACTATGACACGGCCTTTGGTCTGAAAAGTATGGAAAATGAAAACCTCCAACTTTATGATGACAGCCAACTCTCCTTTAATTTTCCTCACAGGTGAAGAAAATTGAAACATGATCAGATGCAATGAGTCCAAGCTGTGCACTGCCATCAGGCACGGTAGGCCATTACAGCCAAAGTTTATGAACAAGCCATAACTCATTTATGTAATATGAAATATAAACTTGACACTTGGGAATATCTAATAGGACTATCAATTCAGAATTGCTTTTGTGCCATTTTCAACCAAATATATTAATTTCATGCTCAGGGAAAGTGGGCTTGGGGTGATGTGTGCAGGAGATGGAGGCCTGATTATATGTACTGACTTAATGAATATATAATTTCCACTGTTAATTTCATCAAGCAAAACCCACAAATAGCATTGGCAAAGCCGGTTGTACCCCCAATGGTGTACATATACAATATATACACAGATGGATATAAATACAAAGATAGGATAAGACTTGTAAAATAATCTAGGATGCCAGGAAAGAGATCCACGTTAATTTGCCACTGTTATAAAAGACTTCTTATGATATCCCAATCAAAATACATGCGTGAAGAAAAACGTAAATAGACAGCAAGTACTGAGAGAGAGACCAAAGGACGCTTATTTTTGTGCACTGAATAAGACTTGGCTGAGTGCCAATGCCCCCAAAAACTGTCGACCGTAACATCATAAATGTTTTTGGTTGAAAGTATCTGGCATCGGGAGAAAGGCTCTCACAGGTTTCACAGCCGCACTTTCATCAGGAAGTGCCGGTGTCAGCGTGGAGGGATGGCATTGGAAGTGCCAACCTAACATGCCTTGTGTGGACCTGTAAACAAAGGAGGTCCTCATAATTCAAGCTGTGCAAACCTTGTGTGGACACGGCCGGGTCCACACAAGGTTTACCTCCACCCTGGAAAAACACTTTTAGGGGAATTTCTGGGTTAGGGCGAGGATGAGGAATAGTCAAGGAAACCAGGAACAAAACATCAGCTCAAAGTTCACAGTGTAAGAAAAATCAGTATTTTTACCAAGTTTCCTTAAGTACAAAAAAAAAGAATGTGCATATGAGGAAGGCAACTTTAACACGTGCACTTCCCTCGGCTGCTTGCTATATTGCCTGAAGTGCAAACAGACTGTTACTGTGGAAAAAGATGACAAAGGGGGTGCTGGTTACCTCGAAAAAACTTGCCTTTGGCTGATAGTAACCATTAAGATGATACCATTGAGTACTGTACTGGTGCAATGTGGAAATATCATTTAAATATAATGATTACCGTTACGTAACTTTACCAGATGAGATTTCACTATCTAAAACATATTAACAAATGACTCGGCAAATAAAAGAAACTGTATACTGGTGAACATGCCGATGATGAGGCGAAGGTCCTTTTTGGATTGTGTTACCAGGCTAGGGTTCACTCTGTTTTCACAGGTAATGGCCTTATGGTTGACACATACGCAACTAGGAATGGGTCACATATTACTGCTCACAAACGGTCGTCTGCCATTGGAAGGCAAGATAGCAGGCTACATGCCATGACAATCAATGTACCAAGCATGTAGGAATGTCTTGTGCAAAACAATTTCTCAAAACAAAAAATAGAAAGAAATGTGATGAAAAATAATTTGTAATATTTTTCATGGTCCTTTTGAAACTTGGATCTTCCTGCAGAGTTGCTGATCGGCCCTTGACATGTTAGTCAAGTGAATTCAAACACTTGACCACCGGAAGAAAAGATAAACACTATTCAAATGTTAAAAGTCAACGACCCAAGGCTGGTTGAGTGGTCAGCTGTCTTGGAGAAATTTCCCACTTTTCCTACCATAATGAACGATTTAAACGATAATGTCTGGAACAAAACCTTTCCCGACGAAAATTAAATCTGTTAACATGAACTTCCCTCGCACTTGAAGATGTATTCATGGGGAAAACTATTTCACTGAATCCTAGGCAGGTAATGCAACTAACAAATGTATTCTTTTTTTGCTATCTACACAAATAATATATTGCAAATTTGGTTTCGTCTACCATAGTTCATAATCTCCAACAGACAAAATTTCTGTGGCATCACAGTGAATGTTTAGTCAAAATTCGCCTGGTAGCTGAATATCATTCAGAACTCACATCACAGGGTTACGTCTATCACACACAATAACTAAATATTACACAAAAATGAAACACTGGCAATGCACACAGACAAAACACAATTTTAAAGGAAAATTATTTCAGGAATGATTTTCTCAATGTCTTTTCTTGTGAAATTGGGAGTAATTTGGAACTTTAAATCAAGTCTTCCTGGAAAAAAGTACCAACAAAAAAACCCTAACTGAGCTAGATTTTTAGAGAGAAACCTCTGTACAACACCAACAACTATTAAGGAACATCATGTGTAAAGTACTCTGAATCTTGAAAACTGAACAAGGGTCCGTTGAGTGTGTAAATCAGGCATCAGAGTGAAACCGTAACTAACAATTTTGAAGAAACGGAAGAGTACTTTGATCTAAGTCACAGGTCAAACAGTGTACGCCCTCAAAGCACTTGTCGGTTTTCTAAGCCGATATCTTTTCGATATTCAGCCAGGGGCGACAAGTACTCCCTCACCGGTGACCAACTCAGAGGATGAGATGACACAAGAGCATGCTATTGGTACTTTTATGCACCCACACCAAGACATTACCCATTCGGAGAACTACTGTGTTGTGGTCCTCGTGGAACATGCACAAGTACGCACAGTCATGCTTTGCTAGGGTGTAATATGACAGCCATTATGAGAGGCCTGGGGTGGCACGAGGCTTGTGGACAGGTGGTATGTGCACGTCACATGCCTCTTTGACCAATAGGGGGTTATGATATGGCAAATGCAAGCACGCATCTAGCTAAAGAATATATGAGCGAGTACAGTCCCACTGCAGTTAATGGCTCGTACTTGGGCCAATACCATGGAAGAGATGATATTCTGTGTCCTGTTGTTCCCATAGTATAACACACTCCCACAGTAAGTACTGGTATTTACCACTGAGGACAACAGCCTGACTGAGGAGGACAGGGCAACATCTTTTGTTCCCGTATTGCTCTGTTCTGGTAAAGTAAAACTGTGTGTATATGAGTTTGTTTCTGCATTCAATTGGGGACCCTGAACAATAGAGGACAATAAGGTCCCCCATTGACAGAGGGTCCCTGATTGACAACTGTGTACAAAACATATGGGTGGTCTTCTAAAAAAGTTAAAGTACAAACAAGAGAAGAAGAATAGGGGGTCCCCAGTTGCAGGCAAATCACACTTGGATGCACATGTGTGTGATTCCTAAGGGTGACCATTGCTTGGTAACAAAAAGTTCCCTTTAGTGCTCCTACATGAAGACCGTGACAATAGAGAACATCGCTGGGGCCATTTCAATTAGGGAAATTTCTTGACCACTGGTTGACTTCCCTCCGGTAACCTACGCACAAAATAAACCCAGGCAGTGGGCACCAGGCAAAAATCGTCCAGTGGTTGCCTAACTCAGCAATGTATGAAGGACTGCACAGCGCCGATTTGTTGTCTAAGGTCACTACCCTTAATACAAAGAAGAACACAGTCTTGGCAAGTTGTGCAAGCCACGGGGAGAAATCCACCCTTCCTCACCTCCTACAGACAATGCAGTGTGAGGCTGCAAGTACCGCTGAGACACAAATATAACTCCACCGCTGATTTGATATTGGACTTTCCTGCACCAAATCAGCAAGCCAAATGGGCAAACTATACTAAACGACTTTGATTATCATTCTGTGTACGCAAAAATCCATGTACTGATATATAAAGAATACTTTAAAATAGGTCCCATGATTTATCTCTGACTCAGGGTGAATAGCACTTTAAAACAAGTTCACGTGACCGTCATTTACTGCAGTTCAACCAATATCACCCAAATATTGGGTGGTTGCTTGGACTAGTCGAGTCAATCACTTGGAACTAGGCCCTGGTAATCATGAGTCTTTTTTTGTAATTAAGTACAGAAGGAACCGCTGACATGAAAACAATTGTATGCGATGGAAGAGACCGTGAGCATAGTGAGAGATGCAACAGCAAAATGTAAGCAACAACGGGGATTTTGCAAAATCGATTGACTGGATTTGTTTGAGTGGCACTTTACTGCTTGTGCCCACAGCTGTGAGGGCAACACACAGCAGCAGAAATCAACAAACTCTGGAGGTAATAAATAAACCTATAAAAACTATGTGCAGTCTCTCGCCATTTTCACTGCGCGCCGGCCTGGTCCCCCGCGAAGGCGGAAGGGGAGGAGGGTGGGGAGCCCCCGTCCGCCGAAGTGATGTCGCCCGCCGTCCACGTCTGGTGGCTGGGGTGGAGCGGACTGGTTGAGGATGCCAGGGGTGCCAGCTTGCTGAGTCTCACCACCTCCTCCGACAGCATCTGGATGTCCTGGTCATTTCCAGAGACAAAAAAAAAAAATTGGGTAAGAAACACTGTTGGTAATCTTCCGGTTGTAACTGTCACAGATAGTCCACAATTCAGACTTCCGCCGGCCACACTTTATACACTAGCCAGTCGCCAACAGTCAGATCATAGTGGATGGTACGGGAACCAGTCAAATTCCATCAACAGACAAAAGCCAGCGACTGTTAGGCAAGGCTGGCTTACCAATCAACGACAGTAAAAGCACACCTATGTCAAGTTATTCCAATAGTCAAAGTCAGTCAACTCTGCTTTATTCAGAGGGAGAATTCTAAACCGTTAACGGCAATCACTTGACTGATTCTGACTGATCCCGCAACCTTTTACTGAATGCACATTTGCATAGGAGGGTTCACCCTAAACAACGTGTAACGCTATCCAGCGTGTAACATTTTGACAGAGAGCGCCGCAATTCACTTAGCTTCTCCCCACTTTTATGTGTCGTATGACGCTTTGCCCGGTAGTATTAACAGGTGACACAGCCATGCTTACTGTGACAGTCAAGCAATGCCAAGAATTATGAATGTTTGTTATAATGCTGTATATTTCAAATATTTCTGGCAGTAAACATAAAAATTTTTTTTAGGGGGGGGTTGCGAGTGAAAAATCGGCACCACATGACAAAAATACATGAATCTGGAGACACTTGGGTGATGGTCTGTTCTCAAATCGCTTGCCGATGGGGGATCCCCCTTTCACCCCCCCCCCCCAGTTTGCGCTCACCTGCTGCAGGTGCATGTTCTTGGTCAGCGTCTCCTCCAGCATGACCTGCAACTTCTGGTTCATCTCCCTCTGGTTGTTGCTGGCCTGGCTGCCGTCCTCTCCCTTGACAAAGTCCATCACTTTCTTCAGCCCAGCCTTCCTGGAGGTCTCCGGCTGTGCCTGAGGTCTGGTCGGACCTTGCGCGGGAGAAAGACAGAAAGAAACAGTTCCAGATGTGCAAACGTTCTGTTCCCGTTTGGCAATGAGGTGCAACAGAGGGGAACGGGAGCAGGAGTTGATTACTGCCAGGGCTGAGTCTGTCACAAATCCTGTCAACGAGTCAAGTCACAACTGTTGCAGAAACGGTATCAAAACAGACAGATTGACCTCTGACCCTACCTATGACCTTTCTCTCCATGACATGGGTTTCAATGATGGCTGTCTTCTTCAGCAAATCGTCCGCCATACAGGCATTGCTCTCTTCCAAATGCCGAACCTGGGTAAGAAAATAAAGATAAGATAAAAGACATGGTATCTCAGTACTTAAAATGATGCCTTGAAGAGACTTCAACAAAATTTGATCCAGGATTTTTGAAACATCTCAAATCTTCTTGTTTCGGTAAAACAGTTACTTGGGTGGGTTGCCCTTGGGGTTTCAAACAGAAAACCTTCCATTCAATCACTGTAAACAGTGAACAATAATATAATCCATTGATACTTGAATGCAACAGTCACAGAAATGTTCAATTAAAAAGCCTTATGTTGTTGAATTTCCAGGGGTACCTGCTACGGGGGGGGGGATAATGGTCTAACAATCCCTCCCGAGAGTTTGTTGGTTATGCTGTCGAATCCTGCTTTACATGAATGTCGGCAGAAGACACCGGGAATCTTCACTAATTGTTGAGTTTCTTGCCCATCTTGTAAACCTGCGGGCAGTGATTAAATTTTGGGGTGGGAGGGGGAACTGTTTTCCCGACATTTTTTTCTGCTTGTTGTTTTGTGGCCTGGACCATGGGCAAAAGTGGGGTCACCACACCTTTTTCCAAGTTGTATTAAGCCTACCTTTGCTATCTGCAAAGCGCTTTGTACAGTTGAAAGCTTCAACATTAGCCAGGCCAAAACTAAGTCCTATTAAAGTACCCCTTGTGATGCAAAACTTTAATTTCTACTGAACTACAAAAAATCCATGAGACAATGTTTTGCACACTAATATCAGAAAATTATATCATATTCATTCACAGCCAGATGGCATTGGTCCTTGAGGACTGGGTCAAATTTTAGACCATTCCACAAACCTTTTCTTCCAGGGCCCAGTTGGCTGTCTGCAGTTCCGTCATTCGACTGATCAGCTCTGTCGTCTCCTCGCTCAGGGCTGCCGACATCATGGAACCGTTCGGTGACTGTGGATGCATTAGAAAAGCATGTCATAAGGTCAGAAAGGTATCATTTTTTCCAGTTTTGACAATGAAAAAGGGGTGGAATATCTGTCCCACTTTTACAAGGAGCCAGTTTAATGGAGCTTCTGGGAACAGAAATTTGCACAACATGACAAAAATATACAGAGCAAAAACAGGTTACAAGCATAATTCACATCAACAGTTGTGACCCAACCAGACCAAATGGGTCGCAAGTCACCATGGCCACTTTTGCGTTGAAGACATTTCAGAGAGTGGATATTGGTATTTTTCACCCATGTGGTCTCCATTTTCATCTAATCCAGACCTTCATCCTACGAAAAAAGAGTACTCAGTTGGTCATTTCTAATGCAAATAAAATAAACATAACTAAGGGCCTCATAATTCATGTACTTCCTAAGTTGGGGTTACTCACAGGTGCATTTTCTGCAGTGTCCTTCACTATCTGACCGCTCGTGCTCCATGACGACACGCTACTGCAGGGGGACAAGGAGAGATGAAGGACATAGCGACATTGATTTGTGATCTGTGCATGATCAGTATGAAAAGGAGTCCTGTCTTGTCAACCTTTTCCCACGATGCCTCGGTTGGTTTAAGGTGGATTTTGCTTGTACGCACCATCCTTACTGGGTGCTGGGACGGGCAAATGACTGACGTAAGCTTTGTCCAGCACTCATTGGACAGAGTTCATTTGGACAATAACACAGGTTCACACTTCTGCATGCGTATGACACATGTGCACTGGAAGTACAAGCGTCAACAATCACAGGAAGTAACCCATAATGCTTTGTACGCCGAAAACTGTCGTCCTCAGTATTTTGTGAACGGCATTTGCCCTGTAAAAGAGCGGTGGGTTACGAGCAGATTTCATTGATTTGAACCCGTAACGGCAATTTAGTGACACCGCGTTTTGAGGACTGAGGAAAAAAAAAGTAACCAAGCGGCTGTCTCCGGCCCAGCAGCCCTCTTACCTGCTGTCGTGTTTCTGCCTGTCCTCGTCGCTGATGTCTTGGAAGAGCTCCTCGATGCCGGCCCGTCCCTGGCTGCCAGAGGTCAGTAGCTCCTGCAGCCTCTCCTGCAGCTTGTCGCCGCGCTTCCGCTCCTGTCTCAGCTGCCTTTTCAAGTCCTTCACCTGGAGGGGAAGGGGGGGAGGGGAGGGAGAGAAGAGGGAGCAGATGATGAGTGCAAAGGTCTAGACTGTCTCCTGCAAAATGAATCTTAAGGCCACTTTTTTGGACAATTCTGTAAATTTAGAAACACCGAACTGAGCTCTATATTGGTGTGTCACAAACTTTGGTACCATGATGAAAAAGGGCAACATGTGAGCAAAAAATATGTAGAGGTTCCTACCGGCGTTGTAGACTTGAGTCACTTGACTTGGACTCGAGTCGGACTCGAGACGCCATTTTTGAAACTCCTTACTTGACCTGTAACTATCAGTTTTTCACATGTGATTCGACTTGGACTTACTTGCAAAATATGACTTGTGACTTGACTTGGACTTGCAAAATATGACTTGTGACTTGACTTGACTTGGAAAAATTGACTTGCTACAACCTCTGGTTCCTACTCATGGACAGTGCATAAAGTTCTTTGAAAAAACTCTAACTCAAAAGTGGCTCTAGCAACTTGTGATTCATTTTGTCTGCTTGGTTCAGGATTTTGCAAAGACCAGAAAACTATTGCCTCACTACAAAGAATGCCCCAAACACAGGTTACTGGTCTCACTGTGTGACAACTTGAAGGTTAGATGGCATGATGCTCACAGGGATGAAAAATCAAATCCTGTAAAGTCATTTTGTTAGCTATTTCTTTGACTTGCATATGCATTACATGTCACTGAAACCTTCGGTATGTTTTCCAATTAAAGTTAAAACAATTCCCATATTCAAAAACAGACCAGTGGCTCATCAACTATTCAGAACAGGGTTCAGAACTTCAAACTTTTCTCAATCCAGAAGTGCACCCAGCTGAAGTTTTTAACAGTTAAATGCCTTTTCGGGTAACCACCAAGTTGGTTTAAGACAAAAGAACTGGAAAGCTTTGACTCGCCATTGTGTATCCTTTCTTTTCGCCCAGTTTCCGCTCCTCCACGCTGTCTTTGGCATCCTGGACAAAGGTGAACAACGGTAAACCAATAATTCATTCCCTCCCTCGAACAGCAATGCAATCAGAATACCCAAAACCACTGGATTCTGTGGTTACTTTCAAGTGAGTGGCGTTGAACGAATGCCTGTCTTGACGGAAAGTAATAAAAAGTGGTTTAACATTCAGTGATGACTTTCATGACCAGCCAGGAATTACAGCTTCAAAGTGCATTGCTCCTATTCAAAAATGTCCAAATTAACGATACAAAATTGTAAAGTTGATTTTATTTCAAGCTTAGAAAAAGAGATTATAGCAATAGAAAACTGACGCTCTTAGTGACGAACGATCAAACTCACTTGTTTGAGTAGGTCAATATCCTTCTGTAATTTCTCAATCTGCTCCTGGGACTGACTCAACTCTGCTGACTTCTTGGTCTCTTCTTCTTTCATCTCCTGACAAATGCAAATCAAACACCCCCATAATAATGCCATAGGCGTACTAAAGCACCGCAAGCCGCAGCCAACATAATTCCAGCACAGCCACTGCTTGATGTGGAGATGCTGACCTTTCATCTCAGGGGTTACTTTTTTCAAGGCAAAGAGTAACTAAAATCACTCCTGTAGCAATCACCAGATCTACTATGTGACGGATGGACCCTAATGACCATAGGGGTCAGGGGTCACTTTGACCATTCACACACTCCACATCTGAGCGATACAGACTAAGGCCGAGTTTGGACTCGAGGGTGCCTCCCTCTGCAAGGTGTAAATTAGCCAATGGTGCAGTTCAGTGAATGGCATTTCAAACAGCATTCCACTGGGTATCTGGCAAGTGTTTGAAATAAGCTGTTAGATTCAACTGTAACAACTGCGCTGGGCTCTGGCCGCACGGCGCAGGGTCCCACCGGGCATACCTGTATCGCAGTACTGTGTTGGTCCCTCAGCTCGTGTACCTCCTCTCGATGAGACTCTTTGGTTTTCTGGAGTTCTTCCTGGAAAACAAGTCACATCAAACGCAATCAATCAGCTACCGTTCAAGCATCAGCTGACAAGGAACTGGTATTAAACAAAAACTGAGGCTATGAATGACAAGCATGGTGGCAAGCGAATGAACCCTTACATGCCCCCGAGGGACATGATTAGGTAGACAAGGAGTTCAGTTCATATATGACTGAGGGTGGGGAAAGCAGGATTGGTGGCTGGGGTTAGAGACTACTAATGCACCAAAGTACAAAAAAGCTAATCGTGTTTCTTCTTGATTTTCTTCCCAACAGAGAAAGGTAAGGTGTGCCCATTACTCTGACGACACACACACCGTTTTGAAATGCACAATTAGTTTGTTTTTTTTCAAATAGAAATTAACACCAATAGACTTGAAGATGAAATTCAGTTCTAACGCACCATTTACTGACAGTCCCTCAATCCCCAATATCCTCTTGTCCTCCCCCTGGCCCTAAATTTCTCACGAACATCATTTTCCAATATCTTTGTTTTTCTAAAGTTGACAAAGTGTTGGCACCGGCTTCCTTCACACAACCCCCCCCCTCGTCACGTTCAAGACAATGGACAGCAAGAGACACCTTCTGCACAGGAAGCTCTTGAAGAAAAATCTTCTCCCGATGATCATCTGGCTTTGGCTCAGGCTTCCAATTTACACAAAGATCTTGATTATTCTTGTTTCATTCTTGAGTTATTCCATCCAGCAGCGAATCGGTGCTAATTTCTCCCGACGACTTCAAGAATTTTTATTCGGAACGGATTGGGGTATTCCTGGCAATAGTTCGGGGATGCATGAAGCCAGCATTGGGGTTCAAGACACAAATGCTGGACATTTACCTCCACCTCGGCTAGCCTTCTTTCAAACCACCCTTTGGTGTTCTCTAACGATTGCACCTTCTCCTCGCTCGCAACCAGTTGGTCCCTCAACGGTTCAAGCTCCTTACGCAGTTTCTGTTACAAAAAAAATCCAAATTCCACGAGTCAGGGAAAAGAAAATCTGCTGTTTCTATTTATTTGTTCATTAGGAGGGGGGGTTGAAAGAATTGATAGATGTTGCACCACAACAGATGTGAACTACGGTACATGGACTCACCGTCTGCTCCTGCAGCTGCTGCCTCAAGATGTCACGCTCATTCTGTCAGGGACGGATACAACAAACAAAAAAACAAATGCTTGCTTCGGTCAATCAGTTTAGTCACAGGTTGAAAGATGAGGTCTTCAAATACCAGCGTCGTAGTCAAGCCCGTCACGTGACATCACAGGTCCACCGTGTATCACTCCATTCAAATCAAGGGCTTTCCAAATGAACAGCCACAAAGACAAACCTTTGTTACTTTCTGTCCCCAGTTAGTGGTGGCTGGACTTGTGACTTGATGAGAGGCTGATCTGTGACTCTCATTGAACGTGATTATAAACGCTGTCCAAAACCCATGTAAATGAGGGTGAATGATGCCTAACTTCAAATTTAGGCCTGTGTCATCACCAATTTCTGTGACTTTTTGAACCTGAATTCTTATTTGTCAAAACAACACACACAATAATGCCACCTTAATACAATCAAATCTAACAAATTCAGCAGGGGATTTACATAAATGGGGGGGGATGAATAGGCAATGCTTGTATTTTTCAAAAACCACAAGACCCATTCCCTGTTGAGCAGGCTTCACTACCGTACACATACCACGTGTGCTTCGGTCGCTCGCGCCATTTCGTTCTCGTGCTGCTGTTTAATAGTCTGCGTCTGGATGGCAAGGTCGTCCAGCATCGTCTTCCGTTTCTCTGCACTCTAAAAAAAAAAAAAAAAAAAGACGAACCCCTGAAAATTAAATCAAAAATATTGGTTTATTAGGTACAGGTATGCACAGCATACCGGCCGAGGAAATACAACTTCCAGTGGGAATCTGAATTTATTTCCCGTTCCATGCAACTTGGCAAGAACGCCGCTAAACTTTCGCAGCATTTGTTGAGTGCAAATGCTTTTGAAGTATAATGCCGTGAACCGACTCAGCTCAGTAACTAGCCTGGCGATAGCCGAAAGACCAGCGAAACAATTCTCGCAGATGGGCTCCAAGGCTTTTGGTGGTAGGTATCAGACAGATTCTGCATGAGATTGTATTCGTACTGCAGTCGCTCATCATTTGAGTGAAGATGCTCCTTATGTCCGTTGACAGGAATGGGGTTTCAATGTGCAAACTTCAGCAGAAAAGAACAAGGTTTGGCACTGCTCCCAAGTAAGCTATCCAGTTCTGGGATGATGGTCTGCCTAATTTTTTTTTTCAGTAGGAACCAAGAGGTGTATACGGTTTGACCACTGGCAGATCAGGAAGGCTAACAGGGACCCCAACCCGCAAAAAGGAGTACATTTTTTGTTTGGGAAAAGTAACGACAGAAAGGAGATCCAGCGAGACTACTTCATTTCCCTTTCATTCAAAAAAAAAAAAAGACCTCGAAACTTTGGTTCTGGGTTGGCCCTCGAGTTTGACACCACTTTCGTCATTCCATACCTTTCGGGCTTCCTGGAGGTCCCTGTGCAGGTTGTCCCTGTCGTTCTGTACTTCCCGCAAGGTGGTGTTGAGTCGGGAGTTGGTGTTGAGGCAGTCTGCAAGCTGACTCTGGCATTCATCCTTTTCGGCCAACAGCTTGCTGTGGGACTGCTTCAAGTCCTCCAGCTGCCTGTGGGCGGTCGCGTACAGGTCCTAACCAGGAGGGCAAAACGCAAAGGGTCAGACCAGGGGCGGGTGCTCAAGTCTTCATACATATATTTTTAGCCATTTATTTCAATACCAATGAATTTATACCAACAAATGTTAACTCCCGACAAAGTAACACATCAATCATCTTTTTTTCTGTTGCCTTCAGAGAAACAAGCTGGAATTTTCAAAAAAATTTTCTGAGACCAGATAATTTGAGATGCAGAAAGTCCAACAGTGTTCTTACCTTGTATCTGTTGCACTCCTCTGCCGTGACACTCTGTACCTGAAGGCAGAAACATAATTGAACCATTGAGAACTAAAATGTGACAATCGTTCAATATTAAAATAAAAACGATTCACTTCAGCACATTATTTGTGACCAAAGCAGCCCATGCAGCAATTAATGATTCATGTGCAGCACATTGCTGAAAATATTACCATCCACAACCAGGGCAGGCCTCAGCTAGGAATCCCTACGTAGAGGATTTGCACTTGGAAAAAAAAACAAGGGATGAAACAAGACATAAATTACAATCTTAATTATTTATCACTGAAGTTGGTCTTTTTTTATTCACTTCTCTGGATTTTGGGACTATATGTATGAATACTAATTTTGGTCATGGGGCACAAACAAACTCTGTGACTGGATTCCTTCTAGTGTCATAGGTGCCTCCATTTTAACCTCTGAAGTCACAGATAGAGAGTGCACTTTGTCCCGACTTTGTGCGGGGGTCAAATTAACAGAAATTTCTATGTGGGCACGGGCCCACGTACTACGCACACCCATGCTAGCAAGTGTGGTCCATTGTAAAATTTGAGAAGGGTGACGGTCAGGTCATGAAATTACAGGTGTTGAGATGTTGTCACCTCTCCTACTTCAAGACAGATTGCCAGTCTATTGCTATTCCTTCCTTAAAGACCACAGGCAATTTCATGGAGCAGTTTTGGTGCCTTCTCACAATTCTGCTCGGAATAAAAATTTTTGTTGAGTGCAAAAACTGTTTTTTGGCGCAGACCCAGTGTAATAAAACAAGATCTGAATGCTCGGTGCCGTCCGAGAGCCTCTCAGGAAAAACAAAAGATGCAAGAGTTTGCCTGCATGGGATTTGGAAGTTGATGCCACAACGTGCTGCAACCGTCGGCACTTGTAAGCAGGGGACCTCATGGGTTTATGTCCTAGCTCAGTTAGACTGTGAATTTTCTTGCAGACTGTCAGACATCAGTGAAATTTAAGCACTGTGCTCATGTTACGGCAAGGGCAAACGGGAAAACCCGCTACTGACACAAAACTTCAGCGTGAGTGGAATATATGTTGACTGAGGCCTGCCCTGGCAAAAAACAGTAACTTAAAAAACAAACAAAAAATACAAACAAAAATAAAAACAAACATGATGCACAACAGACAAGCACAAACACTCTATCCTATCACTGAAAGTCTGCATCATGCTTTTGTTCTCATGCAAAGTGCAAACAATCAAGAAAGCAACATTTCTCTGCAGGGGAAATCAACACAAATTTGCGGCGACTGATATTACATATGGGGTTAAGGGTGAAGGCAATTACAAATAAATAAAATGCTTGTATTAAGTCTAATTGACCCAAGTCAGTAGCACCTTTAAAAGAATGTAATTACCAACTGACTTGTTCAAAGTCATTAGCTTTCTTTTGGTTTCTGTTGAAGAATTGTCATTATATCCTTAAGTGGATGAAACTGTATGATTCAAGAGGACAACTGTTGTGAAGAAAATTAAGATGGAATTGCCATATTCTCGGAATTTTGAACAAAGCGGATAATTCCTCAAAAGAGACAAAGGTCAAAAGAAAATAAAATACACGTTCTCACTCAAGTGAGGAAACTGAAGCAGACCCGGCACTCACATCACAGATTTATTTGCAAGGAATGAGAAGTACAGTCACTGTCATAAACCCAGTAGATACATTGAAAGCTTTAAGAGGAGAAGTTTATAAGAGCTTGTGATGCTAAATGCGGATGGAAATTTCTACCAGGCCATGAAAATAAATTGTGCTCCAAGAAAGCAAACTGAATTCAAAATGGCACACTACATTTGAAGGAAAGCGTAACAGCATTTTGACAAAATTTTCATGGCCTTGTTTCTATGAGTGAATGTCATGAATGATTGCTGCAGCATAGAAACCACCCCACATTACCGGAAACCCACAAACAAAAAAAGGAATTAATCAACTAATCAAACTTGCCAATTAGCAATTGGTTAGTACCTGTTTGGCCTGGGCTAGCTCATTCCCCAAACTTTCTAAAGAATCCCGGAAGATGGCTACCTGCTCACTATTGGCTGCCTGTATTACCAGGGCAACGGGTTAAACCATTTAGTAGGCAAGGGGTGATTAGTAGAGGTGAGATGAGGGAGCTCTGACTGAAAGTTATGGCTGCAGCTGGAAATAACACCTGAGCCTATTTAAGCCATTGGCTGGTGCCACTTCCCATTGACACGCATATTATTCCTAGCCGCAGCCAGTTGACTCAGACACAGCTTGGGGCTCAGGCTGGATGTCACTAGAGGGCAGCAGACTTTAGATCCCTACCAACATGTGCACATTAACTACACTTTAATTAACCAACGTCACTGGAACATGGATGGTTAGATATCTAGATAAATACTTTGGAACCGAGCCCTGGGCTATGATCTGTCACTGGGTGTCAAGTGAGAGGCTACTGTGAGTGTCAATTGGTAAAGGCAACTGACCAGTGATCAAACTACAGGATGACCCCCTAAGAGAAGCAGACTCAAAGTTATCTTTATTTTCTCCAAAAATAAGTATCAGAAATTGTTGTTTCTGGTGTCAAATTAAGCTTAGGATGTTATCTTTTCAAACTGAAGACTTGCAGTTTCTGGTGGTGGGGGGTGCACTCTGTAAAGTCACTCAAGCTATTGCCTACTGCTCTCTAGGTGACGATATGATAGCAAAAATAACAAAATGTCAACTTTTAAAAGGGTGTTCAAATGATCTCACAGAATGTTTCCAGGAGAAACTACTCTGACAAAAGTGATAGTACAACAAAATTGCTCAGACTTACAGAAAACACTCTCATGAAATTTTTACTGTGTATTATTTGTTATTTTGCAATTTTTTGTCTTGCAGACGTTTAAATAAAAAGGGGGCCAAAGTTACAGACAGCAAATACAGACTTGGAGAGACAAGATAAAGAAAGAAAGCAGTGGTTAAACATTACAAATTTCAGAAACTAAATATCAAACTAAGCGAACATTATTTCAACTACTTGTGAGTACATGGCCACAATTACTATGCACTTCACAGAGTGAAACTACGATCATTTCATTCCACAATGCAATTCCAAAAGTAAACAGCGAGGCCGGTTAGTTTCTTGCATTCAAATGATTTCTCTGGTTAGAAAACGGTCTTGTTAATATCCAGCAAAACCACAAGACTTTAGCAGACTTGAGCAAGTTTATATGGTGACTAATGGCAACTGGAATAGAAAATTTCATTCACTTGTCAAACTGAAATTGCTGCCATCCAACTTTTTATGCACTAAGCAAATCTTTGAGCATAACAGGAAAGAATAAGTAATTTGAGGCCTTTTAACTGATTTGTATTGTTCAGCAATCTATTCGTGTCGGGATGTTTACGTCAGTCAGATCTTTGCCAATAAAAGTGCTTCCAAGGCCAAGTCAAACAGAATCTGTGGTCAAAGTCAGAGTCCTGTTGCGTTTGTCTGTCAAAATGGGCGTGTCCCCCTGACTCCTCCCACTTCTATTTACGATGACATCAGAAAGACAAAGCGATTTTTTTTTACAGAGCTTCATATCTTCTTTTCAATGCCATAAGGGTCTTTTTCACATTGGCTGTTAGCATTCAAGACATCAAGATCACAGCATCACAGCTGCTTTGTGAAAAGAGATCCAAGAAGTTGATCAAGTTTCCAGATTTGTAATATTTTGCCGGGGCTAAGAGAGACCTCCTACGGCCAATTCTTCCCCTGCTTTTTAACTCCGCTGTGCAACGTGGGAAAACTTTGTTGCAGCCGTACTTCAAGTTCACTAGACTTGATTATGCAGGCTGTCAGTCTGTTGTACTGTTTGTCTGTCAGTTTGTGCAGTGCTTCGTAACGTTACCTGAACGTTGAGTGACCTGACCGATGCCTCCAGCTCCTGTATTCTCTGTTGAGTGCTTTCCTTCAGCTCTGCCATGGCCTGAAATATTGGAGAAGTCACAACAAATCTGAAGATTTCTTTTCATCTGCTCCTTTCTGACACAAAGCACAAACTATTACTTCTGTCGCAAAGAAATAGGGAGATCAACAAACGAATTGTGTAAAACTACTGCATCGGAATCCGTAAAATCCAGATGGCGTGCAAAACAAAGAGGTCTTTTTTTGTCTTGGCTCCCTGGCGGAGACTCGTTACAGCGAACAATTTAGACTGCAATTGAGACTTGAAAATGAAGTTGAACTGTCACATTTGTTGGTTGCCAAGGTGCACAAGCCATCTAACATCCAAAACCAACCTGCTTGGCTCTTGTCAATTCCTCCAGAACCTGCAGTTTCTCCTTCTTCAAGTCCTGACCAAAAAAAAGTGAGAAAAGTTGAGCGCGGCAGAACATTACAAACGTGTAGCCAAGTTCATAGAGGTCTACAGGGCCAGTGTCACATATTTGCTATGCATAGAAATCTGCTGACAAAAAATAAGTTCTGCTTAGTAAAAGCCAAAAACCAAAATGTTAAGCATCTTTTACATCTTTTGACTTGCTTGAATGTATATTTGCTTAGCAATAGTACTCTGCTTAATAACTCTAGGAAATTGGGCCAAGGTTACGAGTGTACAGTGGTATTTCAGATCCTGGCTTCATTCCATTTCAGCTTCAAGTAGCAATTTTAAGAATTTAGTCACTTTGGTAAGAACCGTCAATTTTAGGCTCCATAAAATTCCATTATCTACTACGCAAGAAATTTCAGTTGGTTCGCACAGTAAACATTTCACACTTGTTTGAAACTCAAGATAATGCTGCAGAAAAAGACAAATCCCAGAAAAAAAACTAGAAGCACTGCCTCCTCGCCAGAAACAAGCCCACCTTGTGCCCCAGAGTCGTTTCGGGAAACGACACCCTTAATCAATTATTGCAGGTGACATTAAGATGCAGGTACACCAACAACATTTGTACATGTAATGCTTAAAATCAATCCTTTTGAAAAGCGGAACACTCTACAGCTTTTCTTTAGATGCGGGTATACAAACACCAAACACCGACACTCACCTCAGCTTCCTTCTCTTTGGCTGTCTGCAGGTTATTAATCTGCTTCCTGTGATTGAAAATGAAAAGGAAATAAACTTCAAATGTAGTTTTAAAATCTTAACTGCGTGTGCTGACAACGTTACGTCAGGAAAATTTAAATTTGTTCGCATTTCCACTGCACTTTATGCCCAAATTGACAAAGTTGACTATTCTGCAACAAAGTTGACTGTTCTGCAACCAAAGTTATCGCTTCTGCATTGCGGTCAGTGCTAACTTCCCCGACGAAATAAAACCTAGGAATGAAAAAGCATCTGATGACCGGGACTGTCCGAACGGCTTTGCAATGAGAAAGTAAAATTTTTGACCTACATATTCTTTTCGTTCTTAGTTAACGTGAGAAAACTCAGTGAAAGTAACCAAGGGAACAAGGAAAATGGCTGCTGGCAACCGACAGTCTCAAACTACCAGCAACTTTCCACGAATTGTTGATACTAATTAGCTGAGGAAGGCTATAATTTGTGTTAATTGAAGTCAAGGAGTATGCGCTTACTTGCCGTCACTGTAAAGTTGCTCTTTTTCATTCTGTAGCTGAAGTAGACTGTTGAACGGAATAAAAATAAAATTACTAGTTACTTCAGCAAATATGAGAAAATATACATGAGGTCCTGATTAATTCTTACATCCAATGGATTGGTAATGCATTGAAAAATATGAATACACTTGATGGCATAAAATAACCCCTAACACATTCCAAATTATGACCTCGTCCTTTTCATTTTATTTTCACATCAATTTCAAAACTTTACTCTTTAAACAATTACCTTTCCTGTTTCTTCTTTGTTTTTTCGGTAAGCTATTGCAAAAACAAGAAAGAAGGAACCTTTAAACCAAAAGTCCAATCTGAAGATGACATTAACTGTCCAGAAAGGTAGGCACAGATAGCTGTGACATCGGTCACAGAAGTTCTTTGGCTGACATAGTGTAGATGCCAGGAGATTCTGTGAAACTTTGCGAATAAGGCCAAACAGGAGCAAACTAAGAGCCTGCTCTCTCGAACAAATTTGTTAGGAGTTTAGCATGAAGAAGAATGTATCAATTTTTCTGCAAATCTCAACAAACATAAATATGCATGAATTTTTATCAAATAATGTTAACAGTGTGTGACAGCTACCGTCCAGACTCACCTTTGCAACTTCTTGACTCAAGGTGGCAACCTCAGCTTTGTGAGATTCCTGAAAAAGAAATTTTCAAACAAAAAAGAAACATGAATTTTTGAAATTATAAAATTAGTTCTATATTTTCAAGCGTGGACATTTCTTCTAAGTGATTACATGCGGTTGACATACACTGGCCTATCAATACTCTAATATGGTAGAGCTCTGTGAAGTTCTAAAATAAAGACCGTGTTTCGTATGTGCTGCAAGATCTGCACTACAGAATGTACACCGCTCGAAGCTCTCCGAAAGTTTGGCTCTGAGGCGGAAATCATTCATCCCAGGGTTGGATTACATTTGCCCAGGCAATTACCAGTGCTCCATGGGCCCAACTCAGTCATAGTCCCCTGCACCAATCTCACAGTGCTGGTAAAGGCATTTCATCCAGATACTTAGATGTACTTATATATGAAGTAGCTACATGGAAGCTTGAGGCTTTTCAAAAATTGAAACTTCAGTTAGAGTGAAACTCTGTACATCTGGCATCTTTGTAGGCCCTGCAATTTAGGTTGCCAATTTTTTTACAAGCTCTGGGCTCTATGCCTACTTGTGCCTGTGGGATAATGTGGCCCTGAGTGGTCCATCGCCTCTGAAGTCCTAGTTCAATCACTCTGTGCAAAAACCTGTGGCACATTCTTTGTACGATATTGGAACCTGACTCATACATGCAGGAAAGCCTGTAGTACGGTCCCAAGTCAAAAGTTTCTCTAAACCCCGGACGTTTGCCTCAAAAGAGACCACTTTTTCTCAAAGCATATCTTCGACGTAACCGAACCTCGGTAGAAGCAAACTCTACCTCAGCTCGTTGGAGTTGCTCCTTAAGTAGTCTCTTTTCTTCCCTCTCCGTGTCTATGATCAGCTGAAGGTCTGTGGCAAGATGAACATACAACTTCCACTGAAATTTGTTGCAAGAGATTTAATGGTGAGAGAACACACACGACAGACACGCTGTGTCTTTGGTAACATGAGGAATGTACAGTGACATTTATTCCTCTCAAAATTTTAGACATTTGGAACAAGGAAAGGCAGTGATAATTTTGGCCGCTGCGATTTCGGTGGTTGTGATGCATCACTGGGGACTGACTGTGTCGGCAGATCCACACAGGGCATGCACAGCTGCCCGGGAGACCGGAGTGTCGAGAAGACTTTCGCTGCCGCAGAAGTTTGGGCGGAGTTGAAGGGACTTGTGACTCATCATCACATTGAGCTTGCGTTGTTGGGATATAATCATTACCGTATGTCATCAAATAATAATTTTTGTTTCGCTTTGAAGTTTGAACGGCAAAACAATGAAATAAATTCAAAATAACTAAATATCTTACATTTTCAAATAATTACTTACCGTTCAATTCTTTTGACATTTTGTCGGCACCAACAGTACCCTGTTATCCATCACAGTATAGAAGGAAAGAAAAACTCATGTTAACAAGCGTTATTTCAAGTTTTTAGATTTCAAAACCTTGTTGCTGTATTTGCTAAGCAAATTTAGTGCTATAAGAATTTTTGTATAGGAAGGAAAAAAGTCAATTTTTTTGTCTCATGAACAAGAACAGAAAGCTACAAAGTTCTGATACAGAAATAGAAAAATTACTCCTGTGAGGGAAAAGACGGATGTAAAGGGATTCCGTCTGAACTGTCTGAAAATGACCACAAATGACGCCTTCACAAAAAGGCAGACACTTTCAAATGAAGAATCAGCCGATGTTTTCTTCAAGCTACGTAACTGCCTCTTCAATTTGGGCATTTAGGTCCCAACACCCCAATACTTGAGTGGCTGCAACAGTCTCAAGACTGTTTACCGGGGAAAAATGTCGGGAAATACCTGTTTTGAGACACTCGGCGGTTATTCGCTCAGCTCACTAATTTTGCTGACCAGTTATCTCTGTTCGGCACTCAGCGAAACGGAGTTCATTTGTACAGCCAAGAAAATTTTGACACACACCTATGAAAAGTGCTCTTTACAAATATTACGCATTACATTAGTCCTACTTTGTACAAGTTTACGTGCACTACACAGCAAAGGTTTTTCATATTTAATAGCTGATACCTGGGTTGCAGAATCTGAACTGTCGGTGCTTCTCGGTTCTGTTTCATCTGTAAAAGACCAGACACAGCAGAGTATGAAAACACTGATTTCTTTATTTTCACATAGTCTTATACCATATCAGTAATGCCGAGGCACATTACTGTCGCATTTATTTGATGAAGTATGAAATCCAAAAACAAAGGAACAGTTCCAAACAACTTGGGTAACTCCCTGGGCAATCTTCACGGGTACCGTGCTAAAATCTTCTCTCATCTTCCAAAGTGTAGGCGACTGATTCCATGCAATTTGTTCTGTACCTATCAAGGGCCATCAGGCCCCCATGTAAAGTAGGCCCACACGGCTGGGCTCCATCTTCTTTGAATCCTTCCAAACACCTCATGGTGAATTTTGAAGGGTTGGGTAGGGTTGAGTTCAAACTGGGACCGGTGGCATACCTTTAAGGGGGCACAGGAGGAAAAGTATTATAAATGGCGGTATCACCTTTGGACATGAGCTTGACCAGGCTCTCCATGTTACGCACCAATGCACCGCTCAGTCGATGCTTGAGTTGCTTGGCGTGACCCTGCAGTACTGTGACTGGATCTAAAAAATAAAGGAGGGCAAAGTAAACAAAATCAAACCAACTTGGACAAAAATTTCAGGAATTCATGCAAAAATTTAAGGAAAGAACCGAGCATTTGTAAATATCCGTATCAATGTTTCAAATTTTTACATCCATTCATATTTGAGAGTGCTGAGGTGACCATGCCAGGGGTAAAGAAATGTGTTCTAGCCTATAAATTACAGGAATGCATACGAATGGCATTTTACAAAATTAAACAATAATTGATGAAGACGTAGCACAAACTTCAACAGGCAAAATAAAACAACAAATGACTTGAAAAGGTACTGCTTGGCATAAATTTTAGCAACAAATAAAAGCGACAAACAATGTTCACAACAAACCTTTGGGTTCTACATCATCATCAAATTCACTAGTTACATCAGATAACTTCACGTCTTCCAAAAAGGCTTCAAACTCATCAGCAAGCAAGCCATTCAACCCTGGGGGAACAAATCACATGGAAGTGGATGCATTGGGCGTGCACACGACAGGCATGCAAACATGCAAGTGGGGGTTGGGACAACAGAGAGAAATGAAACGTCAAATGGCATGATCAGCATCAGCTTTTGAAAATTCAAAAGCAACAATTGCAACTTTAAGATAAATTGTATTTCTTCACTTATCATGCATTTGGCAATGTAAGTCAATGAATTCAATTAACATACACTGAACATAAACAAAGATAGATCCAACCTTTGAACTGCTTTTCATAACCAGTCGCTGACTTTTCTCTACTTTAGGTAAAATCCATCATTAATCACAATCACTGCTTGATAAAGCAATTTTTCAAGCTTGGAAAATTAAACAGAATCTACTGCAGGTAATGATAATGATAATGATAATGATAATGATTACACTTAATTTTTCAAACAAGTGTTTGAATATACAGTATACAGTGTTTATAAACATATACGTCAGGTAAGGGAAAAACCCCGTAATTAAAATTAACGTCTCCCCGACGCAAAGTACATCTTGACAATGATTACACTTAGCATTATGAAACGAAAATAAGATAAACACACACAATTCTGCCAGTGTGGTGAAAGCATGCGCAAGACAACATAAAATTGCGACAAGTGTGCAAGCCAATGTCACAAAATTAAAACATCACACAGAAGTTTCTTGATCAATTGTGAGTGTTAAACAGGCCCACTTTGCAGTACTGCTGGTGTCACTTCTTCGCTGTGTAAGTGGGCATGGTTTAAGGTGCGAGGATGTCGCACTAACAAACCAGACAGAACCATCGTCGGGTTCTCTAATGCGAGTCCGAAGATTGAAAGTATTTTCATTTGGTTAAAACAGTGAATGTTTGAACCTGATGGTGGAGCTCTAGATCAAATACAGAATGAGTGTCCATCCAAGGGGACATTACAGGTAAAATGCATCCCTCTTGTTAGGCAGAGGTCCATTAACCTCACTGAAGTATGGCAGACAGAATACGAGAGTGCTATTTGGTTTAGGTAACAATATTTTGGACTGGTCCCCATCTCTTTTATATAGGAACCGGTAGCTAGTTGCGGTTTAAGGTGTGTGATAAGCCCTATCAATTTGGATGCTGAATATTAAACTTTTTTGTCAGGCCAATAGCAATGCTTTAACCCCTTCTCAACGGGAATTTCTTTCCGAAAGCCGACTCCATGAATTACAGCCTCACTTGGCCACGAAGGCCACCTGCCAAACCGCAAATTCTCGGTTTGTGGCCCTGCGTGCTCTGCAGACTTTGAATTTCACGGTGAAAAAGCTGATTGTTCGGTGGCATGCAGCTCTACTCACCCTTCCACATTCCCGTTGCCTCTTTCCAAAGCGGGGACTATTGTGAAGCCGGTGATTATGATGCAAAATCAGTCTTTTCATTTCTGGGTTACGCACAAAGACCAATTACCATATATACAAGAGCGAGGGTCTGCCTTCTTTCACTGTGTTCGCTCGAGCGTGGGCCGAGAATAATAGCTGAAAAGCAGGCTGAGGATCTCAATTTTTACGGCGGCTATAGCCACTTCCCGGGTTAACCACTTGCTGCCGGGGACTCCCTTTTCGGGCAAATATTCTTTATATGCGTAGCCGGGGTCTCCGAAACTGGACAAAGGGAACTGGGCTTTGTAACAAAAGACCGTACTCGAAACAAAAGACCAGGTTGCTGAGCATTACCAACATATTTTCACTCTCAATTGTGGAGATAATCCAGCCTTGTTTTGAAACAGTTTACCATGGTTTGGGGCATTCAGCGCGAGTGGATTACCACCGGGGAGAGAAGCACTCCACCGCCACAGTGATGAGCCATATAGTACTGCTGCACGATAATCTGGCCCCTATTGAAAAGAGGTCAGCAGTGCACTGTGCCAGTTTCGTGAACAAAAGAAAATTACGTATCACCGCACAATCTGGGCTCTTTTTACAAGGCGGCAGGCCTGGCTAAAATACTCAAGTGTCAGTAGATATTGTCTGTCAGATTAGAGTAGAAACCAGACAGTCCTTTGTGTGGGTGTAAGTGTCCAGTAAATGAAGATATGAATTTTTAAAGAATTTTGGAAACGAAAAAAAATGAAAATTATCCCATCCTAGTATCATCATCATTCATAAATGCCCCAGCGCGATGTGGTTAACATGAAATACATTTCAGCGGGGAGGAGAATAAAACGCAAGTACCTATCCGTGTCATGCCTCTGTTGATCACAGTATGGTAATTTATTTTTCAATGATTTTAATCGATAAATCATTTTACAACCCTTCATTTCAAATCAGAGGTTATTGTGTTAAAATTTAGATAAACGAACGACTTATTTCAGAGACGAAAAGAAAAAAGCAAAATATTCTATCAGCTCCTGTTTGATTTGTGCACTGAGTGGGCATTGTTTCCTCATTTACATACTCCTGGGAGGATTCTGCCAGATTCATTACCCACTACCAGTCCCTACATTCAGAGGACGTCTGTAAGACGTCAGGAGACTACGTATGGGAGGGGAACCAGTCTACAATCTTTTGTGTTTGCTCAAAATATACCCACTTCAAATAGTGGCCAACTATTCTGACCGCCATGCTTCAAATAGGTTAACTGACTGCAAACCGACTACAGAAACAAGCCCCCCAAAAACGATACCTCCTTCAAGTGCTGATTGTTCCTCAGTACCCTTTCCAGGAGTCTTCGGGGTTGTTTCGGGTGATTCTGTATTTGTGACATCATCACCTGGTGCTCCAGCCGGGGGCATCCTCTCACCCAGGGCTGCGGAGCTCTCGCTGAGGTTGCTGTCAATGACATGAAGCAAAGGACAAAAAGGGATGCATCAGACAACAATTTCCAAGCCTCTCTCTGCTCAGATAATTCTGAGGGATTCATTTTTTCAGTTCACGTGACTAATAAACCTTTTACGAGTTAAATTTAAATGAAATCTGGTACACTGAGTCCTTTAAACTTCACCTGAACATAACAATTTGAATTCTCCCGACTAAAGACACTGTTGCTATACCTCATGATCCAGGGCAAGCTTTTGCTTAGTTACATAAGAAACGCCTTGCATCAATACACTGTTTTCAATGGATGAGAAGGGCACAAACGAACCAGTCTACTCCAGAGATGGTGGTCGCTATGCGAAAGCTTGCCCCGAATCACAAAGCACAGCAACAGTGTCTTCAGTCTGGGAATTCAAGTTGTTATGTGCAATCAGCTAATTGGGAGTAATTCAGATTTAACCTGCAAAAGGCTTATTTGTGACCAAGTTAATTTGAGGTCCACTAATCAGTAATCACGGAGAAGTTCGGAGAGTTCATTGCAATTTATAAAACTCTTGAAGCCTTCAAACTTTCCAAGCCCATTGGTTTACGGTGCTTGGTTCTGTGCATGGAGTCATGACGTGCAGTTACAGCTGCAGCAACAGGGGTCAACTTGGGTGAGCAAACTTGATCGGATGTGAGCACGTTCACACAAATGTGTTAAAAATAAATATAGTGCCGGAATTGTTAATGATTTCACTGCAGACTTTAATTATTTGGTAGCTGATCATGTTTATTCATTTATTCGAATTTCCCCCAGATTCTAATCAGGAAATTGTAACTGCTAAATCTGTTATCACAAATATGAACAAGGTTGGTAGATACTAATCCTTTAAATCTGCATTTAAATGTACCTGCATAAGTGAACCGTTTCCAGCATAGGCTTTCAGAGCAGCTTATTAGCTTCGGTAAAGTATATCAAAGTACACAATTACATCCTACTCCTCAATACTGGACAGCTCACAAAATATTTTAAAAATACGTAAGTGTCGTTTTCACCTGATTGTCTGTTTCAATGTAGCTATCTCCGCTTCATATCTTTCTTGAGTACCTAATGACAAGAACAGAACAGATTTTTGATGACTGTTAATGAGGAACAGTTAGAAAGAGAATAGTTGAATAGTTAAAAGAATACACGTCGTTAAAACTTGCAGCTTGCATAAACCATTACTTCTGCTCATTTTTTGGCATGATTTTCGAGGGGTAAATTGACTTGATCACACAGGATATTTCCCACGGTGTCCTTACTGTTTAGGTTTTTCTGTAGGACTGTGTTCAACGCCTGTAACCTTCTCAACTCTCCCTGGTGGTCGCTGTCGGCATTTGTTGTGGTCTCCACCGAACTCTGACTGGTTTTTAACCGACTGACTTCTTTCTCAAGTTCCTCGTTGCTGGTGCACAGCTGAAGAGCCAGACATGGAGTGGACGGTGAAATGGAAAGTTTGACTGATTTCAACCATTTAGCAATACAAAGTGAAATGGTAAAGATTGGAATCGACCAAAAAATTGGAAAAACAAGAAACTAGGACCAAAATAAATATAGTGACAACAGGCTTTACTATTCAAAGCAAAATCTGGACAGCAAATATGGGAATTGTTTTAATCAAATGGGCCACTTTTGAGTTAACAGCCTTGTAGGCAGTAAATCAATGGAATTTTTCAATTCCTGCAAATGTACCTTGGAGAGTTCCTCCATCAAGGTGGAGTTCTGCAGCCTGAAATCCTCCTCCTGGCTGTGCAGTTTCTGCTGGAGGCTGTCCAGCTCTGAAAGCAGAGCCTCCACATCCTACGCAAGCAAACAACAAACAAAAACCGACCGTGGGCAATGGGGTGGCAATCAGATAAGACTGTGACCACAGGTGCCAGCAACTTTCTCATAAGGTGCTTTACATCGCTTCAATTCACATCCCCTCTGGAGATAAGGCACGAGTTGATATCGACAAAGGCATGCATACACGCTCATTACAACCTGCCTTAAATTCAGTCTAACCACTGCTAGTCAGCGTGAGCACTTAAAGGGAACCAAGTCAACAAATGGCCTGTCAATGGCACATGTTATCAAGTACTGAGATCTTGACAAACTGCTGTTTGCGCACACACGGTTCTCGATGTGCACATGGGAGTAGCATTTAACACATCACCTTTTCCATCGGAGGCCTACATCAGTGACCTACTCTGAATGTAACGGTAGTCTCACTGTAGTTTTCTTAGTCTTCGGTTTAGGGTTTTTCTAAAGACTTCCGCAGCTTGTCTTCCACAACTAATTCACAAATTGAAAACAATTACCCCCAGTTGTGTTGAGAGGACCTTACAAACGGAAAGATGAAGGTTGCATCTGTTCACTTACCTTGGCTTTCTTGCTTTTACTGATAGTCTGAAACAAAAAATTCATTGTAACGAAAAATTGTAATTAAATTACCTTAGCCTTCAAAGTAATTTTTAAGGAAGGAGAAAGCTGCAAACTGATTAAAAATACATGTCAATGAATACTACAATATTTAGAGGAGCCTTATATCAAATAACTCACACACTTTGCTAAAAGCATGACTCTTATGGAATCATACAAATGCTACATACTGTACAGGATGCTAAATTGAAATGACAGAACAGTGCTCTAGATCAACTGAGTTTATATGGGACTCACAGAGACTGGACTTTTTACCTTGTTTGCTTTCTGTAGTTCCTTTTCATAATTGGAGGCAGTCAACTGAAGATTTGTTAATTCTGCAAAGAATTGGATTGAGAATGAAGAGCAATGGATTGCACTGAGCATGTAAAAAATGACTGCCCCCCCCAAAAAAATCACCATATTACTGTAATTGCATGTGGAGGTAGCAGCAGGCCTTGCCAAAAGGAGCTATCCTATGGCTATGACTTCCGAAGTTTGCCACTGACAAAATACAGACAACAGCCAGAGCAGCAGACAATAAAATCTTTTGAGAGTTGGCCTCAGACGTTTGTCCAGTGATTGCTTTTACTTTTTCTTTTAAGAAAAGGAACAGCAAAGCACTAGGAATTTACCATGTTCCAGTTTTCGGCATCTGTCACTCAGTTGATAATTTGATGTTCTCAACTCTAAAAGTTGATCCTGCACATCAAAAAAACAAAAGACAAAATGGGTACATGTAAGCTTGTCCAAACAGAGACTTATACTGCAAATACCTCAAGTACCTTACGCACAGAACAGCTGGAGCCCTACCTGGTGCCACACTCCATGAATTTGACCATCCAAATGACATTCTGCATGTGAAGTACCCAGAGTACAGTAACCTTTCAGAAGTATCAATAAACCACGGACGAATATCAGTGAAACAACATTCGTATCAGTTTGTTCAGACTCCAATTTTTGGGTCAAATGACTTGCAAATGACAGACACTACTGATGGCCGAGGTTGATGGCTGACTGTTTGTATATCGGCTCAGCCATTTCTGGACCCGGGGGGGGAGGGAATGGAAACTTGTTTTCACTGCGCGACCATCCTGTGTGCGTCATGGCGGGCGTGCCCTGTATGCTGTAAAGCTGAGAAGGGAAGGGATATATGCCTGCAGATTTATCCACACACTTTGACATGTTGCGATAATACATTTTTTACACATGAAGGCAAAATTAGAACCTGTTTGTTTACAAAAACAGAGGATGGTCACGTAATGAAAACAAGATTCTATCTCCCTGCTTCCCAAAATGGTTGAACTGATATGCAACAGTCAGTCCAACCTTATTCTCATGGGTACCATTTTACCGTACCAGGTTGATTCAAGGAGACCATCGGTTGGTTCTTACTGTACCTTGCGCCATCTTAGAAAAGGAACGTTCTTGTTTAATGTTCTTTTACAAAGTCCCGCTCTGGGAACTGAACAGCGAGATATCGAGCGACAAAGTTTCACTTTGCATAGTGCAATCGTGGCCATCACTTTTCTGCAGAGCGTACAAAAGTTGTTGTACTTGATGCATTTCCACAAATGTTAATACATGCATTTTACGAATTATAGGGTTTAGTCTTAGACTATCCTTCCTTCGAGTAAACTATCAATGAAACCCACGGGCAAAATTTTCAGATGGTGAATTTCGAATCAAATGACATTGGTTTGTCCAGCAATAATATCGCCAATTATCGGTAAGTCTAGTTTCACACATCCTCACCATACTCTAGCAACCATGGCAACAGCAGGCAGTAATCGGAATCAACGTTACCAGACCGATTCAAAGATGTGATACGCTGAAAAGGACCAAATACGGCACCCTCTATGAGTCATTATTTCATGTACCTAACATGCTTAAACCTAGTACTTGGCTAATTCTGGACATGAACATGTGAACAAAATTTCAGCTAGGCCTACCACTGTTAGGTAAATTTTACCAGACACAAAGTGACAGAGGTAGGCCTAGGCCCTGGCTGAAATTTTTCTAAAAATGTGAAAAAAAATTGTTGTGAATCTGTGACTATCTTTGGATGCCTTTATATCCTGGACATTAGTCGTAATGTAAAGAAGACGACGTCCAACCTGGGCTGGGAGTTCTGCAACAGTCAATGACAATGTAAGTTCGTCACAACCACAGCCTGGACTAGTCCTAGTCATGCCAGTTCGCAGTTGTTCAACTTCAACAACATGTTAGAACATTGCCCAAAAAATCATTGCAAGGGCCCTTTAATAAGTTTAATAAAAAGAAACTGACATTTGTTTTGTTCTCGTTTGTAAAGTCGAAAACAGAAATACCATTTATTTTTTATAAGAAAAATTAAACAAACCTGCATTCGCTGGAATTCTTCTCCAGACAAGGACTGCGCCATTTTGGATGATATTGCTCTTTAAAAAGGTTTATTTTAGAACGGTTAGTTAATGTTACATTTTGTTTTGACGTCGGTGTCATTCAGTCTTTCATACGACAGTGACAAGACACGGATGAAGGAGAAACATGGTTATCAAAACGGTAGAAACTAAATTAAACCACAAATTACAGCAGATATCGATTAGATGCTTCTTTTCGTTTCCCAGATGACTAGGCTGAACTGCATGTTACAATTCATGAATGCTGCAAGAGCCCATCCTCTCTACTACCCAATTTATTAATATCCCACGACAGAATCGGGTTTCGACTCTTGAAGCCCCACTAGGGTGTACGGTTTCTCAGCTCCTTTCTTTTCAAATGAAATATTTGGGGGGATGCTTATTTTATTTTTTACTTCTAACGCTGAGATTAAAACAGGACATGTGCAGTTCGTGTAATTTGCACACATTGTGAAAGCTAGATCCGTAAACAGGGCCCTACATATACACCGTTGATGTACATGTACGAAGGGCCCTGTTTACGGGTTTGCAAGTACATGTACATGTGCTGCAGTACTGTACATGTACTGTACGTGAAAGCTTGTTTATGCTGGTAAGGAATATTCGCAGGATCTCAAAAAATCGTTTTAGAGATAGTCTGGCGACGATTACGAGTGCACGACTACTTAAATTTACGCGTGACTGGTAGGATAGCAGACCTAATAGATGTTGCGCGAAAACTCCACGTGTGGTGATCGTGCATGGAGGTGCTGGTACTGTAGCTCACAGAGAAACTACTGGGTTAAGTTTATTTCCCCAGTTGTTCATTTACTCTTAAATGATTTATTTTGCAAATGTACGGCTTTGCTATCCCTTTTATTACCACCAGAAATAATGGGCATGAGAACCGTGAGGTCCGACATGTCTGACGTCCACCACGCTCCTGTTCGGATCCCACAGTTCTGGATCTGGCATATCTGGGGGACTTCATTGAAGCATGATTGAAGTAGGCTTAGATCCTTAGATGTTGGTGTTACCGTTATTAAAGTCCCTTCCATTTCCACAATGCCACATTCAAGTCTAAACTCTTTTCAATCTAATAATCTAAACTTTTTGCGTTTAGCAAGTATTAAAGTTACTGACCTGGTTATCTTCATCAGTGGAATTTGTTCCTTTACTTGCTCGCCAATTTCTTTTGCTTATTCTCATAATCACTGCATCACAGTGCATGTGTTTATTTGCTTGACCATTGCTAAGTAATGACATTAATTTGCTGTGCTTTGATTTTCAATATGTTGTTTAATGTAATCTCTTTCTTCTACATTTAATAATTACCATCAAGCCTACTGATCAGATTCATAGTTGTTGTTCTGCTGTACTGTATTTCAATCAATTACATCAATTACATGCTTTTTATAGATTTTGAGTAATAAATTTTCTGTTTCTTTTTGTGTTTCAGGCTTCAAAGATCCTGTCATATACTATAGTTTCAATGATTGGTCAGTGTCATCAACATTTTTGACGATGGGGAAAAGGACAGTCTCTGGTCATGCTGGTTCCTGGGACAGTCAAGAAAATGTGGCAAAGAAGAAAAGTAAATATGCTGAAACGAAGCACCAATCTGTGTCGAAGTCTTCAGATGGAAACAAATTGAATCCCTCAAAAAAGTTCCGGGAAAGCCTAGACACAGATTCCAAAAAGACAGTCCCAACCTTCTGGTGGCATGCCAAAAAGGTGAAGAAGCTCAAGAACGAGGGACAGGCGGGCTCAAATAGAGCCAAGGCCATGCTGAGTGCGCCACCGGGAATGTCTAAAGGCTCCACGGTGGCAAGCCCCGGCGGAGGTCAGGGGAAAATCAGCAAGAAAAAAGCCCTGCAGTTGAAAAAGAAACGCCAAAGGAAGAACAGGCTGCTGAAAAAGAAGCTGAACTCCAGCAAAGATGCTGCAGGTGACTTGCCGCGGATGCCAAAAACATGGGGGACATCGAAGCATGCCAAGAAAACACCACATGTTAAAAAAATGAAAAACAAAGTAGGAAAACAGAATGAAGGGAGCGAGAAAACCAAGCCAGATGAAGGTTATAGGACCACTAAAAAGGCTGTTAACAGCTCAAAACCAAAGGCTGTTAAGCTAGGTCAAGACAACACCATTCTCGCTCCGCGAGTATCCTCGCAAAGTTCGAATCTTCAAAAGAGTGGAGGGCAGAAGGAACGCAAGGTGAAGAAAGCCAGAAAGTTTAAAAAGGCAAACACTTCTACAGATGCTATACCGGCAACCAGCAGAGAAACCGGCGAGTCTGCATCTGGGTTGACCTTGCTGGGACAAGACAGGAGTAGAAATGTCAAGAAAGCAGGGAACGGTAAACATTTCAGTGATAACTGTCCCGTTGTTGACAAGGATAGCAGCAGCCTCAGTGATAAGACAGAAATGGACAAGAGGAAGCAGGAAGAGGTGTCCTCCAACTGGAAGGCTTTGCTGCCAGTGAGTCCATGGGGGATAGGTGTAAAAGAGTTTAAAGGAGATATATTTGGAAAAGAATTTGCTTCGCTCGGGCTGTCACACTCTAAAAGCGTGATGAAGGTCAACCCCATTTACAAAATCTACAGAGGTGACAGTTTCACCAATTTTTTTTAATGTTAACCCAGGTGTGACCAGTTTGTGCCATGTCGAATGGTGGTACCCAACAAGATATGGAAAAGAAGATGAGGGTTTGAGGGCCAACAATTTTTTTAAAATGGAAAACGGACTTGAGCAAACTGTGACAAAATCACCCTTTTTAAACAGTTAGTTTAAGTGTGTAATGCAGCAGATGTGCAAAAGTGTCCTGCACAAAATTTATCAAATTGAGGGCACAACTCATAGTTTGCTGTGTTTTTGTGTATTGAATGGTAACTTGGAACAGTAACTGACACAATTTCTTCTGCCAGAAAATGACATGTATATGGCACATGGTTAAATGATAGAGCTTTTTTTTTTTACACGTTACTGCATTAATTGAAACAGGATGCACCACTGCCATAGATGGAAAATGAAACATTTTTGTGATGACAATGATTTGCCCCGTTTGATTTGCTCTCATTCCCACTGCAGATTGTTGAAAAGTCCAAGGAAGCAGATGCAAAGAGACGAAAGAAATTCGGAAAGGCAAAGAAGACGAACGAGGAGCCCAAAGCAAGGTTAACTGTGACCCCGTAATGTCCCAACTTTGTCCACTGCTCCAACTTTGTCAAGCGCCCACTTAGGATGGGCCCCACTGTGTCAACAGAGTTGGGCATGCCCAACCTTGGTTTGACCCAGCAGAACTGAATATTGGACAAGTGCCATTAGATAATATTGTGAAAGCTGGGCCATTACCAGTTTTTTTTTAGAGCGATTTTTACATGAATTACTCTTTGTATCTGCATGAGTGTGATTCTTTCAGTACCCTCCGGTGTTGTGGAGGAGGGGAGAGGTATGACTCCTCCCCCCCAGTTATTGTTCTTGTTGGCCACACCTAGTTATTTTTTCAAAAAGGAGGCAACCATTAATAGCCCACTTTTGTGCTAGAGGGCGTTCAGACCCCCCGCACACACACACTTACTTTTCTGATGCCCCACTGAAATTGTCAGGACTTTTCAATATGTGATGATGATGTACTAAGTAGCCTAAGTAGCTATGTCATACAATCATTATGACAGACATTTTTAATTCTCTCAGAAAAATAACTTAATCATTGGATAATAACGAATGGGTTTTTTAAACTTGCAACTTGTTCTGATATCTTTTGTTTACGTGCAGCAAGCCAGACATCTGGTTTGATGATGTCGACCCCTCGCTGATCAGAGCCAATGAGAATACAGAAGCTGTCGACAGTGTCCAATCAGAAACAGACTACAATCCACTCATCAGAAAGGACGCACAGAATTGGTGAGCCAGTTCTCAGCTTGACATTTTGAAAGTTTGTCACATTTTATTTTCTGAAAATTAATCACACAAGTACAAAGCTGATTTGAAGTTGCTAATTTAAACATAACCATCCTTGTTCACTTAACACGTTGACTGCCATGCGTAGTTTCAAAGGGGCGTTCCCCCTTGCCAAAAATTGTACACATGCGGGCATATTTAAAAGGTTCTTTCAGGTGTCTGTTTGAACACATGCATTTTACAGATGTACGCCCTCCACACTGCCAGCAGCGTATTTGTTGTGTTCTTCGACGATGCCAGCGTATTCAATTTACATTACAATAGCCTTGCGTTTCCTACGAGTAGACTTCTTGTGGCAGAATCCAGTACACCCATGACTACATGTTGAAATCCAGCAGGGAGTTTGCAGGATCTCTCAGCGTTTTGGAAAGTAGAAGCTAGTTGCTGTCATGTTGCACAGTGCTCGATTTCCTGTGAGCGTTTCAAGTACAGGCGGTGTGCAGTGTAACACATGTTTCCCATTGTGCACTGGAATCTGCAAGACAGGTCCTAACAATCCTCAAGCCTTCACCCGTGGATGGATTGTTAGGGTTATGGCTAACCCTCCGAATTCCTTCAAAATCTACCGAGGTTTTTTGAGGAGTTTCGCAGATTGAGAGTAATTAGCGTAGCCACTGTTTCTTCACGTGGGGCTCGATGGCCCTTGGAAGTCAAAGTACAAAGAATGCGCCGTTGGTTTTAATAGTGTACAGTGAAGTATTTTGAAGAACTGAGAAAGGTTCTGGAACAAATGGTTGGAAGGTAAAGGTGAAGTCCCCAATTATGTTTTATTTGGATGACTTCTGGAGGATACAACATATTTTACATGCACTGTAGGAATTTGGCGTGAGCCAAAGACATGTGCAGTGTTTCTGCAGTGAATGCCATATTTTCCTGTATACATGGATGTAATAACATACGGAGACGGTAATGTGTGAGCGTGGTTCCGATATGCATTGTTCACTGGTTAACAAATGTGAGTTTTCGTGGTCTTGATTGGTCGGGAGTCAGCCCAATTAACTCAAGAGGACATGCTCAAAAATACTATTTGTCCTCATCCGGGTTCATCCTTGCATGATTGCACAGTGTGCTGATTGATTGATAATAAAAATGATCGTCTCTTGTCATTGTTGGTATTTCCATTTCCCTCTTAGCCCAACAAAGTGCCTAGCAATGGACTGTGAGATGGTGGGTACCGGCCCAAAAGGCTCACAGAGCATCCTAGCCAGGGTGTCTGTGGTGAACCAGTATGGTGCCTGCATCTTTGACAAGTATGTCAAGCCCCGGGAACCGGTCACAGACTACAGGACTTTTGTCAGCGGCATCCGACCTCAAGATCTGAGAGACAAAGGTGATCTTTTTGTTATTAAAAGGAAATGTTTACATTGGTACTTGTCATTTGGGGGGGGGGGGAGTGTGGTAAAAAAATGCAGATATTTTGCAAAGTGTTCACTCTTGGCAACGTTTCCTTCTTTTGTCTGCTTTTCTGACAGGAGAGGATTTTGAGAAAGTCCAGAAGGAACTGTCGGACCTACTGAAGGGAAGGGTTGTTGTGGGCCATGCCCTTCACAACGACTTCAAGGTAAAAATGCAGTTTCGCAAGATGTCTTGAAAACGTATTTATCTGTTGTAACTTGTCAGTTGGCATTTTGGCTGTTTTTTTTTTTTCTGGAATTTCATCTCTTCGTCATCAGCATCATCGCAAAGATGAAACTATCCATCCCCTTCTACTTAAAATTTTGAAAAGGACAGTGCTGTTGTCAGATTGGTTTTGATCAGTCAAAATGCCCAGTCACTGAACTCTCTCCACAGTTGTTTTGGGATTCATGGTACCGCAGGGGTACAACAACAACTAATTTGAAATCCTACTCAATTTATGAAATGTGAGATATACCATTCGGAACTGTTGATGGAAGTAAATAATCTTTCGGTTGCGACTTTGGTTTCTACAGGTGTTGTACTTCAGCCACCCTCGAAGTTTGATTCGAGATACATCAACATATCAACCATTCAAGGATCTTTTCAAGGTTGGTCAATGCAGAGTGATGATCTTCTGTTTTATCTTCAGGCAAACTTGAATTCTCAATTCTGATTGGTTGATTCATGGCAACAAATAGTGTGATATATAACCCTGTTTCACAGTTAATATCAAACCCCACAGAATGCACTAACTGTTCTAACTCAACACATTGCGCTATTTTTACACTAAAAGCAAAACGCACAACTGCAAAGTTTACTTTAAATTCAAAGGTGGTGCATTTGCACCCATAGGCTTCACCATTATTCTGTCTTGCACTCGTGTGATAACTAATACAATATTGTGGCATCTGCTAATAATAGATATTCATATGGTATGGGGCAGCACGGACATCCGGGAGTTTCACAAAATAGCTGGTGGCAACCACACTGCGTCATTGAAAACAACTGCAACGAGAGCGTGCGCGTACGTACTCATCAAAGAAAAGATTGTGTGACCCGATCCTTGGACTGGCTGGTGCGTGCATACATCGCCATGGTCGCTGTTTTCACTGACACGGTTCCTGCCATTTTGTGAGAATCCCGGATGTCTGCGCTGCCCCACAGCAGACGGCAACAAAAGGTTGTACTGGTCAACAGATCTAGCACGAGATATGAGAAATATGATATACATAACAACATGAATGTATGGTACATACTCCTGCCACCGTTCTTTGCAGACCTGGTCCATGTCAGCCAAGTTACTTACTGTATTAATAAAAATGATATTTTGCAGCATTCAGACTGTAAAATTGCTTCAAAGTTAAATTTGACAAAGATAACTTTGAAGTGTTGTAGTTCAGAGACGTAATACCTACACCATGTAGATGTTTGCACTGTACAGATGTGAAATGTTACCCATTTTCACACATCCATTAATGTTGAGAGTTTGATATTGTTTTATATTGCCTCTTTTTTCCTTTGACATCATAGAGCAAGAGGCCAGGCCTCAGGAAGTTGACAGAGCTCCTTTTGAAAGTCAACGTGCAAAAAGGGGAACATAACTCAGTAAGAATTTTCAAATTACATTGAATTGGTTGAGTGAATTTTTTTGCCTCAGAGGCCGAACAATGATAATTTTACTCCCTGTATATTCTGTATTTTGTCTTATGTCTACTTTTTTTTTCACAAATACTTTTCTAAACATGGCAATACATGTAATGTATAAAAAACATGCTACTTGAAACATCTTTTGTCAAAGCTTATAAACTTATCTCACAGTTTTGAACTAACCACCTAGAAATGCTGCTTGCAACATGCTTTGTTGAGATCTCATTTTTCTAAACTAACCACCTCACCGTTGGTTTGCAGATCGAAGATGCACAGGCTGCGATGAAACTGTACCTGCTGCACCGAAGGCAGTGGGAGAAGTGGCTTCGAGAGAGGCGTCATCTACTGCCCAGCAAGAAAATGGCCAAAGCAGACAGGAAGACAGCAACGGAGGCACTTGTCTAGTGATTTGTGAATCCCACACAGCTACAAGAGAACTGTTACACCCCCACTATGACATCTGTCCCATTTATGGTCAGGACGGCTCCTGTTTATAGAATAGTGTGCCAGTGTATACCGTGACGTCAACGTCGTTTGTTTCAGAGCTCTAGTTTTTATTTCCATTATGGATGAAATGCCACATTGCCATAATTCGGAGGAACACCATTGTATGGGAGCCGCAAAACTCGGAGAAGGTTGAGAAATTTGCCAACTATGAGGGACCATCCCAACGATACGAACAGAACCTCTGGTAATCGTTTGGTTTTCGAACTGTTAGCCTCAGTACAAGTAATGCTCAGCACCGCTGTAGGCTGTCCTTGATTGGTAATGATAGCTCAAGGCAGCATGGGTGTTGCCAGGATTGTTTTTGGGGGGGAGGGGGAGACACTCGGCAACAGCGAATTTGCAAACCATTAGTGGTGGAAGGGGGTCAAATTCTGATGTATTTTCAGTCAAATTGGTGATTTCGATCACCTTTTCTTCATTTTCATCTTTTCTTAGTCACACACCCCTGCAAAGGGCAACACTGCATCTATACTCTCCAACAGTTATTATCAATGGTTTTCTTCTTTGTGAATTAATAAAGAAAACTCTTTTTCCAAAACATACTCGCTACTCTGCACTCTGGGGTCTTCCAATTAAAATGTTTCATCGACTGATGTTTAGCAAAGTTTTAAAAGCCGCACTGTGAACTGTTTTGAATTACCAGGGTGACAATCCTTGGTCAGAACTTAAAGTTAACGAGTCAGTTTGGAAGAAATGCTGGAAAACTGGCTCTTCCCTTCTGCCAACTCCCCCCCACACACACACACACCCACAAAGTTGCAGTTGAGGCCAAAATATACATCAACCAAAATATTTGCCCAGTAATGGGTAAAGTGTATAATTTTTTCACTTTCAACTATATGTCACTTGTTGGAAAGCCTAACAAGCTCAACTGGCATCTTCATAGTTGCCGAACAGTGTTATGTTTAAGAAGTCTTGGGGTAGATTTTGTCTACTTCCAGTATGGTTTTAAATACAAGATTTTATGACCCGAAAAGGGAAATCTTTGGATATTTTGATATCTTTTGTTTTTTGGTGTGTGTTTTTTTTTTTTGAGCATGTTTACTCATTTGGGCAAACTTGGCAAAACGGTTGTAAATTCTCCGCCAGTGTGCTTAGAAATTTTTTTGTCAGACAGGAGAGGCTGAATCATCCCCGAACTGGCCGCTGCTCAGGAAATTCAAACATGCCTCATTATGGTTGGTCATTTTCAAGCAGATTGTGTGCTTTGCTTAAATTTAGGCTTAAATTTAATGACTGCTGCGATCGCCTTAACTAACGACGAACTGAACTCGAATGTTGGCATGCTGTCCCGTCTGGTTGTGGTGGTGGGAATATGAAATGAAACACTCTCCAGGGATTCCCAGACTGCCCAAGGAAAATGAACCTGTTCGTTAGATTTGGATGTTGCATACATACGAATGAATTTAAACTGTGCAACCTCGTCCACAGCTGTGGACTCCGCGAGATGAGCCGCAGCTGTCGCATTTTGTGGGATAGATTTGATGGATCTACCTTTTTAGGTTCGTCCGCGTCAATCCAGCTTACGAAGAAATTAATTCAATAACTGGAATTGAAAGCCATTTACTGGGTGGCACGCTCGTGATCGCTATTCAATTTACAAAAAAATACATGGTTAAAAGCCATGACATACATTTATACGTACCTTTTCGAACACAAAATCGAACGCTGCCAAAATGTGCCTACTGCATATTTCTGATTTCGACTCGTAACCAGTATAATGAAGGGATCGATGTCTATTGCAAAGTTGAGCACAATCACGAGTATAAGCCCATGGAGCTGTAAGCCTCACAGCAGTTCGGTAGGACGTATGTTCCGAGCCAGAAATGAAACTGTATTTGTTAGTTCGAGGTTTTAATCCATTTAGGGAAATTATAACATTATTTTTAAAATGTGGTTTTGAAAGGTTATAGAAATTATTGAAAAGCATGTTTTGTTTTTTGAATTATTGCTTCCCCAAACAATATAGGGCGCCCTCGGACGATGATTTCACTCCAATGTTGAAGGGTGGCTGCAATGACATGACTACAAACCTGTAAAATGCACCTTTGTGCCCCAGTAAACCTTATTTTAAACTTTGTTTTCACTGTTTGGAAGGGTATTTTAATGCCTTTTTGGTGTTTATGTTTTATGCTAATAAGTATTTCGATATTCGTAAGCGAAACTGTGATATCATCTTAGGAAGAAGCCTCAATGCTACATTTGTTTGTACACAAAAAAGTCCTGCGTTTTTGTAGATTTTCCTTGACTAAGTTTTCTCCTCTTTGCTGATTTATGGTTGTTTATGTGCATCGCACAAAGAAACCATCAATCCCTCTCTCAGAAATGTTATCAGTTTGTAAATTCTGGATTCACAATTTGAACAGAAATACCTATGCACTCAGCTATGTCTTCCCTGGATTACTTCACAGCAACAGCGCCCTCGTTGACAGGAAAACATGGATTATTTTGATTGTTTAAAAGTGTGCACTGAGTGCATTTAACCAAATAGGAGTGTGGAAGATTTTTCATACATTGAAGAAAAGTACAAAGATGAAAAAAAAATTGTATCGAAGAAAAATTCATTGCAGCTACACTTTAAGTTGGTTTCGATATCTTTTGGGGTATGAGTCACAGTATTGACTTAATCTGGTCCATAGGGATTCAAAACAATTAGGTTGCAGCATTTGAAAAGAAGAGATAGCAGTACCGAAGAGCAAAAAAGGTGAATGTTTGCCGGTTGTTTGCCCATGCTTTTCAAAATCACGGGTGGTCTATGCGTTTATCAGTCTGTGGCGCACGATTCCTTGTGACAGCACCCTCTTCAAGTTTTTATGCGTCCCAGTCGCTCCCCCACCATCTTGCCCTGTCCTCTTTATGCATGCGTTGTGGTTTCAAGCACTTCCACCTGACTGCAGGTACTATTAATGCGTTAGATGTTCCCCTGCTCCTTGAAAGTATGTTTCCTTCTTCGTGTCCCCTCTATTAATTTAAAAGTCAAGATCCCACGTAAGCACACAGTGCTCGTGTAAGCCCAATACAAACAATAATACAGCATTCAAATTGGTTCGTACTTTCTTGATATGATATTTTTTGTATAATTCTCCTTTTTTCGAGTGCTCCCACTTCGTCGATTACCGCTGTACACAATATCTAGATATTATGAACATCGTTCAATGCTTATTAATTCTTCATGATTAGTTCTTCGTTTTGCTCGGGCGTTCTCGCTGCAGACATCCTAGTGGAAGTTCGAACGTACCTTTTTTATTTTCAAAGGGTCAGTTAATATTTTCCTGCATGGTGATTCGTCGAGTAATGGCTCGTGTCGCTGATAGTAATTCGTCGTGCTCGTGATGGTTTGTGTCGCTGAATAAACTACAGGGACGTCTTGGAACCAAGACTTGAGTCACAGCAGAAAAGGAAGGTGTGTCGTCCAGCTACGTTCCTGCCAAATGTCGCTGGGTCCCGTCCACCGGCAGTCCGGTCACAGGTGTCTTTCATTGCACGGTCTGTGCTCCCGCTGGAGATAACATTGACCGGGGGACCTGGGATAGAATTCGAAGGTACCGACCATAGGCTGTCTTTGTTGGTGCACGTGCATGTAGGCTATTTAAACACGTGTTTCGCTACTTGGGTGAGGTAAACCTGGAATCCTTGATTATTTGCCAGTAGATCCGTGTCTCTCTGCAGGTTGCCGTCTTTGACGGCTATTTCCAAAATACCTCTTTGAAGGAAACCCAGTGCACTTTGGGTTGCGTGCGCATCCCTGGTCAGTGATTTGAATTTGGTATGCAAACGCAGAAGTTTGGACCCAATTGTTGGAAACTATAGAGCTACTTTAATTCAACATAGCTTCGAAGTGGGTGGAAGAAATGTCGACAGTGAGTGCACTGCCATGTACGTATCCTTCCGCCATATGCGAATTGTAAAGAGAATTAGGCTATGCAACAGGCGCAAACCGCCTGCCTGCAAGGTAAAAAAAAAAATAGGAACAGAAATAGCCAAGGTGTGCTTCCATGAATCCCCTGCCGCCTAAAACGCAAAAAGCAAATCTCCAACACATCATCTCACTTCAAGTTCCAACCATTCATTTTTGTTTAGTCATTTTAAATGTAACCACGCATGTTTCTTAAAGTAGAGGGTTCGTGACCTAGCCAGGTACTCTTGGCAAACCGGGACTGTTTTTGGTATACTCGACCCTTGATTTTGCACGCTGATACTCGACGTCATGCATCATCAATACAGTCTGCAGTCGTCACCCTGACAGTCCAGTAACTCAGTTGCAACTTCACCTGCCTCTTATAAAAACAGGCGTTGTTCGGCGCCTACAGTTGATGTGAACCGAGAGTAAAGGAGATCAGTTTACATTTCCAAGAGCATGGCAATCGCTGACAACGTAATCGCCGTTTTGACCAGCGCGAGCAACGGCTCGTCCGTCGCTTTCCCTTTGTGCCTTGTCGCGACATTCCTCGTGACAGCTCTGGTGTGGCGGCATCTGACGTACTGGAGGAAATACACCTTCCCGCCCGGGCCTCGGGGCTGGCCCTTGATCGGGAGCTCTCCGCTGATCGCTCCAGATTCCGGACAGACCAATGCCAACATCACCCGAATTGGAAAACAGTACCACCCTGACATGTTCACGCTGACTTTGTACTTAGGAAAGTAAGTCTTGCCTTGGTTTTGGTTGGGTAATTGGGCAACGTCAGGTCATCTATTGGGTTTGATTGATGTTCGGACGTAATCAACTTGATATTCATGAACGGATTATACTTGCGCAAAATAATGTGTACCTATGTATCTGGATTTATGTGAATCTGGATGATAACCAATGTTCGCTTCTTCTTTTTTATAGATGTTTTACGACCTGCCCCTTTTACGGTTGTCTTGCAAAGTTGTAATATTTTCTCTCTAATTGCAAATTGGATACATTTTGCCGAGCAAAGTAACCCACTATCATTTCGCAATTACTTTCTTCACTACTCTGGTGATTAACCGTGGATTCATGCTGAAAAATTTCTGAACTCTCAACATATTATTTACCGGGCGGAATTCTTGTGTTAATTGACAAATTGTTGCGTTCTATAAATAGAATATCTTTCAGTTGACTTCACGTTTTTGCTGCTGGGAAGTCCACAAACTCTTCATAACCTGCTTTATTTTTTTTCTCACGACGAAAAAGTGAAGGGATGATTCAATAGCCCACCTCCTCCCAGTCAAAGTGTGGAGGGATATAGATACCCCCCGCAGGATTTACGCCCATGCCTTGAAAAATCAAGGAGTTGAAGATGTTACCGAGACAGGTTTTCCAAGGTAACCTTTTTGGTTATTGGGAAGAGTCTGATGGTCGTTGGAAATCGCTTTTGGACGCTACCCTGTGAATACGTATTATACACCTTGACCCACCATTTCCAAACCAGACTGAAGAATAAGCTATAATATTAATTATGGAAATTATTAATTAAGGAAAACTGCAAATCCCAAACTACCATTGCCCGGATCTATACCAAAGCTTGCAGCAGACAAAAATGGTTACTTCGGATAACTGTGAACTACCTCCTTTAAATGAAGAGTGTGTGTGGTGTTAAGAATCCTCAAACAGCAAAATTATTGGCCAGGTTTTGGAATGGTGCGTCACAAAATGTATGGTCAAACAGTAAATAATTTAGTTTAAAGGTGGGACAGCCAGAGAAACGATCCAAAGGTTACTTCACGTGTTTGTTTATTCGTCTGAACGTAGATGGATTAATTGTCTTCACTACCTTGCCTTATCATATAATGTTCACCCGGAGACTGGGGTCACGTACGTTCCAGGACCCACTGCAATGTATGAAACTGGGCTCTCGTGGTCAAGGTCACAGGTTATCGATTCCGTTCAACGTGCATGTTTATAAAGAGACGCGGAAGGTTGTCTATCTGGACTTGTTATCGAGTCGCTCGGTGATCACACGTTTTTTGTTTATTAATTTTATTTGTCTGCTTGTTTTGTTTTTGTTTTTTTGGTTTGTTTGTGTTTGAGGCACACTTGGTATTGTTAATGCGCTTAAACATGGAGGACCCCCCCGTCAGATTCTTGATGTTACTTTAGCTTGACCATGACAAAAAGAGGAATGGAGTCTACACACGACATTTATGTTGAGAATGAATCTCTTGGGACCGAGTAAGCTTGTGCGGCCCGTCGGGTAGTCTTGGCCCAAGACGATCGGTGATCATAGCCATGATTGCATTTCTGAGCATTTTCCCCCATTCTTTCTTGCACCAGTAGTGAATAACGTCTTGGAGATCTTGCTTCAGTGAGGGCGTAGCCGTTTATGTAAATTGGAATGCTGGTGTAGATATTAATATCTTCGAACAAATGGCGGCCTCCCATTGGATAGTTGAGAGCGGTCGTATCACTACGGTGCATATGTGCGTCATCACCGCGCTTTCGCAAACTAGTTGGTACGCGACTACTGTTGTTAGTCCAAAGTTTTGTTTTTTTTTCAAAATCTAAAAAGCACTTTCGTCATCTTGCAAACTTTTGTGGCGAGAAGAAGGTAATGTTTAAGATTAAAAACAATGTACAATTTTTTGCTGTTTCCCTTCTTTTTTTTCAGGCGCATGCTCATTTTAAACAGCTTGGAGTCTCTTAAAGATGCCTTTGTGAAGCAGTCGGCTCTTGTGTCTGACCGACCAAGCGTGTGGCCATTTACGTATGTCAACGAAAACCACAGGAATATCGGTAAGTGGTTGTCGGAAATTGTTCCACACTCAGACAACATAGATATTAGTCTCTATTTCTTGAAAAAAATCTGGAAAATCTACAGGGTAATTTACAGTATCGAGAACAAAACTAGTATTTGCTTGGCACCGTTTTGTTGCATGATACGAACAGACTCCTTCATTGATCAGAATATATCCGCCTCGAGCAGAAGCATCCCTTCATCGGTTGAAAAGAGCCGTTCTGGTGGCGATGTGACCACAACGCGTGCATTTCATTATCGTTTGTGAACCAGTGAAGTTCAGTTCCGACAATAGAGCTATAAAGCTCTATGGTTCCAACCAAAAGAGCCTCCGTTGCTAAGAAAATTGCGCCTTCTCTTGGTCAAGCTCGAGGCTCGTACCTCTGTGGCACACTCCAGCTACTTGAACTGGGCAAACAAGTCGTGAGTCCTGTTTGACAGAACTTTATAAGCGCGACGCTATGTATTTATGAATGGCTGGGTCTCGATCACTGCAAAGGCGAATTACCCAACGTCCCTGGCTCAGATGCTAACGTCATGCATTTGATTTTATTCGGTCACCCGCGTCCGGTCAGATCGGTGCGATTTATATTTGGTACCGATGGGTAGTTTTGACACTGCCGATACAGTGAAAATTTCTTTTTAAATGCCTGTCTTGACTGTGTACATTACTGTAGTACCATTCGCGCCTTCAACGGATAAAGTATCAAGACAAAAATCGAAATGTTACAGAGAGTTTGCGCGTTTCCTGCTTGTTGCTTCTGATTGGTCGAAATTAATTGACCCCTAACCCAGGTGTCTTCTTGGAGCCTTACACCGAGAGTTGGAAAAGAGAGAAGAAGTACATGTTGCGAACCGTGCGCCAGTTTGGCTACGGTATCCCAGCTTCTGAGAGTATCGTCCTTCGAGAAGCCAATCACTTGGCGGAGCTTTTCCAGAAGAGGGAAGGACAGCCGTTTGAGCCAAGCCGATCCATCAGCTCCTGCATGCTAAACGTGACTTTATCTATGGTCTTCAGCACAACTTACGAAGAAGACGACAAGGAGTTTAATCACGTCTTGGAATCCGTTTTGAATTGGTATACGGACGTCTTCAAACTTTACCATGTGGAGCCGCTGTTGCCCCTCTTTGACAAACTCGGACTCAACGCTCGCCTTCAGAGAGGAAAAGCTATGACCAAGGAAGTGTTAGCGTTTGTCCAGAAGCAGGTCGACAACCACAAGGCGACCCTGGACCCGGACAACCCGCGAGACATGGTGGACGCCTGTCTGATCGAGTTGGCCAAAGACAACCCCAACAGCGACTTGAGAGAGTTCACCAACGAGAAGTTACTGTGGATGCTGTGGTTCTTCATCCCCGACCAAGCAGACACGGCCTCGGGCCCAATGCTCTTCCTGCTGCTGGCCACTGCTCTCCACCCTGAGGTGCAGCAGCGCGTCTTCCAGGAGATCCAAGAAGTCATCGGGAACCGCCCGCCTTCCCTTAAGGACAAGGACAACATGCCGTACACCGAGGCTGTTATACTCGAGACTCTGCGCATGGACACCAGCGTCTGGTTTCTGGTTCCCCACTTCACAGCTGATGATGTCGAGATTCTCGGCTACAAGATCCCAAAAGACACGACAGTCATCCCTAACATCTACGCAGTCCACTTCGACCCGAAGCTGTGGGGTGATCCAGAAAACTTCAGGCCCGAGAGGTTCATCGACGAAAGCGGCCGAATCAAGCGACCACCTTACTTCATTCCTTTCGGCATCGGTTTGTACACATTTTAATACCTTTGATCTAGATACCACAGGAACTCCAACAATAATTGGGAGTGGCTTTCTGCCTGATCCTAAATGCAGACCTTAGAACAAGCATTAAGGGCCGTCCTATAGCTTTCTGGTGCTCGTGGGTTTTTGGGTGAGAGGCAGTTCCCTTAGGGCCACTTGTATCCCCCCCCTTGGAAAAATGGAAAGATGAAAAGGGGACTCAGGCAGTGGAAAGAAACCAAAAAGGGAAAGGAGGAAAGTAGGACGTATTTAATTAGTTTGCCTAAACATATCTCTGCATTGACTCCCTTTTACTGTTGATGTTAGGTTAGCTGCTTATGGATACTTAGTTTCTGCCCCCCTTGCGCCCCCGTGATTTGCTTACATCAGATTACTGAGAGCGGAAAGTGTCTTCAGCTTTAGTTGGATACGGGCATCACTCCAGAAGTTCCATGTAATAAGACTGCGTAGCATTATGAGACTGAGGAAAAAATTAGAATTTAAACCATGCTCACCAAAAGATGTTTGATGCCAGTGGCTGAATTACCGACCCGACTAAGCCTTCTCTAGGTGCAATGGGCATGGTTCAAACTGAAGTAATGTCACACTTGTGAACCATGTAGAGTAACCTCGCACGTATAGTTTCCACAGATGCAAGCACTATTTCATGTTACTTAAGAAATAAACATAAAAGGAAGCTAACTCATTTTCGTATACCGTGAATACACAGGACGCAGGACATGTCTTGGCGAGTACATGGCCCAGAAGGAGTACTTCCTGTTCTACGTCGCGCTCATCCAGAAGTTTAAGATCAAGCTCCCGGATGGTGATCCGATACCCAAGTTGGAAGCACTGTGGTTGTGGGTCAGTCCGCCCAAGTACCATCTGCAAGCAGAGCTCAGAGAGTAAACAGAAAAGCATGTCGTGGAAATTTGGGAGGTACGGTCGTAAACCATGGCATAGAGTGACAAACAGAATGAAGTTGTATTTATCGAGACAAGACCGTTGCTTTTGATGATTTTTTCTATTCTAATGCTCTGGCAAGAAAAGGGGGCACTTGGCTGTATGATGGCTGTATTCGGATGATTTAGAAGTAAAATAAATCAATACAAAAAAATAAACGTAGCTTGAGACAATAAATTTGTTGCTTTTTTTTGCTGCTGTTTGAGAAATTTATGCGAAAGAGATGTCATTCAAGACCTTTGTGCGAAGTACATAGCAATTTTGCAAATGAATGGTGTCAATGGAGTAATAATATAAAGAAACCATTCGATAATTCATTAAATAGAAGAAACTTGTATGGTGCATTTTAACTGGAATATAACTCAGAACTTTCCAAAATTGGTGGATCCTCTAAAGGTTAAATTTCAGTTAAAGTGCTTTGATTTCTAATGTAAAGTTAGTTACATAAATCTGGGCGACTATTGTAATCAGTCGAGCATGTCAATGATTTCTATTATATGTACATGTACTGGGTCTATCCATGATCGTGCGTGACTTTTTCTGTAATCGACGACAGGTAATGGTCCTTTATGATTGTTTTGAAGTGAAAGTGAAATTAGTTATTGCATTTATCACTTGTTCGATCCACCTGCGAATCTCTCCTTGTACTTAATCCACTGTCCATAATGTCATACGAAGCTTACAGAGTTTCCCAATGTGCCTAGTTTAATTCCGCTCAGCTCCATTTCTATATACTCATTGTGCATATTCTTAAAGCTCACATCACATTTTCTCTTGGCTGGTTATATTTCTGCTGCGTACTTACGCTTGATGAGCTGTGATTTTCATTTTCCACATGCTTTTGCCGCCCACAAAATCTCACCAGGACAGTTGCTTTATTTTGGCTTTTGTACTTAAGGAAAACGCGGAAGCGACGCAAATACACCATAGATGTCTCAAAACATTTGCGGCAACATTCGCTTGAGTTGAAAATATGGTAACCTTTCCAGGATTTGGCTTATAATTAATCTGACATCGGGATTTGCGTTCTTGTTTACTTTTGCGCTTAAGCATGAACTAGCCTTAACACTAGGAAGAGTTAAAGCCAGTTGCACACACTGCAAAGTTGCACACATTAACTCGAGCGAAATTGCGTTACAAAATTGTCGTGATGTCAAATTCGCTTCGCTATTGCTTTCACCTGAAGTATGAACCGGCCTTCATCACGTACGTTTGTGTGTTACTCTTATTTTTTTAAAGTTGACATGAAAATTGAAGGAAGAGCACTTTATTACATTGCAACAACTTCCCTTTGGACTCACACGACTGGCCATTATTGCTTTGTGAATTGGTCCCACAAAATAATTTGGAAGATCATAATTGTGCTTAGTAGTTTAGGTTTGTTTGATTATTCCAATGTTTTGATATATCACGCACTTTGGCATCCTGGTGACAGTGGGCATTAAGCCGATGGTTCTAAGTGACTGAAGGCCGGTTCATACTTCAGGTAAATATGAAAGTAAAGTAAATTTGACGTCACGTGGGATTTGCAGCAAAATGTCGCCCAAGGTTTTCAACTCGAGCGAATTTGCGGCACGACTTTCTAATCTGATGGCAAAAATTCGCTTTCGCTTGAAGCATGAACTGACTACTTTTACGGTCTGCAAAATTCATCTACAGGTCTTTAACTCAATGTTGCCCCGGCAACTATATGCGAAGTCTACCTCAGCCTCCATAGTAAGGTTGGCTCACATCCGCACTTCTAATTCGCTTGCGTGCGTATGTTTGGAATGCATGCAGGACCGTTGGTTCACCCTTCCTGTTGTCATTTGAGGCCAGAGAGAGGGGGAATTTGTGAACGGAATATTTTACCGGGAATTCCTAAGGAGTGTTTCTTGCTATACTATTCGTATTTTTAAGAAATCAACGGGAAACACCAAGAGGCCACTAGCCTGTGTTCCTTGAAGGATCAATACAATTTTCTTGGTATGTTTATCTTGCATGAAATATGATGGAAAGTATTGCCTATGGACGGTATATACCTTATTTCTTTCAACTGATGGCGCACAAATTGTGTATAAAAGAGATATAATTTCACTTCTCTTAGGTTACAGAATGCTAAACAGACATACAGAAATTAAGTCGATATGTTTAAAGTAGGAATGAACGATAAAATGTAAAAATACCGCATGCAGATACCATCCAACCATGCGACGAATTTGAATTAAATAATAGGCCTACTATTGATCTCAAAATGACGAAACCGTTTTATCTGTGGATGCAGTTAGACAAAATCGAATTGTGTTTACACAACAACAAATGGTAACTGTACCGTTATTTCTTCAACAAAATGCAGGCGACCAAAGACGAAATTTAAACATGGTGTAACGCTCCCACAAACTGTTCCCCTATATGCATATGGATTATAGTGTACACGCTACTAAACACACCACTTATTACATGTACATGTACATGTACAGTACATTGTACATGTACTCCACAGCGAGCGTGCAAGGACCATCTACACGTAGATTATACGGATCGTACACAGCGCATTGCATTCCACGCGCGACCCCGTTGCTCTATGCTGCGACATGCCCTTGAACTGCAACTCCGAAGCACACTTCCAACTTAAGTCATTTTCCCCCAAATCCTCCTCGGAGTCGATCCTACTGTCGGTCGCACATATAACCCGTACATTCTACCCACACAGACCCCCAACTCATACCGTATGTGTCCCGCTAAACCACACCCCGAAAGCCTGCGTCCGGTCACGGCACAGCGAGGTCAATTACCTCCGCTCACCCCCAGTTTTACCCCGTAAGAATTACGTGTAGATTTCCTAGCCATCCAGAGATGAAGTGTTGTACACAACCCAATGTATCCAGAAAGGCTCACCCTTTCCTTTCCATCGTCGCCCCGTAGCTCACCCACGAACAGCCTTTCACCCTCCTGCTCCCAAACTGCTGAGACCTTACCGCTCTCCAGAAACTAAGTCAGCGAGGACAAAGGGTGTACAAAATCCCCATAGACTTTCTACATGTATGAATTATTCATAACCACCTTAATCCAGTGCTCCCATTGGCTAAGACGCGGACCCAAAAGTCTATATAAATCGACCAGCTGCAGCGCTAGCGTTGAGTGTCGATCATTCCCGAGAGGGCAGCTTCACAGAAACAACTCTCTAACCGTTCGTGAGTGTTTTGCTCCGATATGAACAACCTTTCTACAGCTCCCAAATAAATGGTTCAGATTTAGACGAGCAGTACTTGAGTAATATCCAGCTTTACTAGAAGCAGTTGCTCATTGTAAATATGGAGAAGATGTGAATAATTACTGTTTAAAATACTGTTTAAAAGATTTCTGTGAGCCAACCCGCAAATAAAATCATGTCTAATTTGGAGTATACAGCAGATTTCATCATAGGTATACCCGCCCTCAAAATAATGTTGAATCAGTTCGTCTCTTATGAAAACTATTGGGAATCAAACACTCTAAATAATCTATTATTTACATTCCGTTCGTAACAAGTAACGTTACTTGTTAGCCCCATAAATAATGCTGATGTGCTGGACAACCTGTTCTCATTGCTCTATCCTC